TGGCCTACAATTCGTTGACCGATGAAGCTGCGTTGGCCCTGGTTGAGGAGGCCAAGAGACACGCAACGCTGGAAAAAGTGCAGTGAGTTTCCCATGCCACTTCTTAGTTGAACGTCCAAGGCACGTGTGTCTGGAGTTCTGTTACGCCTTTGGGTTGCTGAGAATTTTGGCAAAGGGTGTCTCCTTGATGGTCCCAAGATCATGGGCAGAGAGAAGGAAACCCCCATGTTCTAGTTTGACTTTCACAGCAGAAGGGAAGGGAACAGGAGACAACTGAAAGCCGCGGAAGACTGGGCTGGCTTTTGAAAGAAGTCCATCACTGAGGGACTCAAAATTCTGTACCCTCAAGTTTTGGTCCTCTGTAGAACCTCAGGAGCACATCATGAAATTATGGAAACTTCTTTCCCAAAAGTCCATTTATAGTTTACTTTGACGAAGGGTTTTCACTGGTAATTATTCAATAGAACTGAGAATTTTTGATCTGAGTGTCCATAAAGCAGAAAATACTGGATGGTGGGCTTGAAATAGGGGGACATGACAGTTTAAATAGGAAGTGCAAGAGAGCCCATAAAAATCTCATCTCCTTACTTTTCAAATGTATCCTAACCAGCTGGCTTGGATTGTGTTGGGATGCAAAGCAGGATGAAGCAGAACAATTAAATGGGCTGGGTGTTTTTTGCCATTGTGGGATGCTGACCATTTTATGAAGTTTTTAAAAAACTAAAAAAAAAAGTCTCATTCAAGGAGACTATGATTTCTGGATTCAATTCAGTTCAAATTCAAGGCAACTATCATTTAGGCACCAGGTTAGAAAACAGGAGACGGCAAGTTCTAGTCCCGCCTTAGCCATGAAAGCTGGCTGGCTGACTTTGGGCCAGTCATTCTCTCTTAGCTCAACCCACCTCACAGGGTTGTTGTGTTGTGGGGAAAGTGTATAGGAAAGTGTATAGGATATGTTTGCCACCTGGAATTATTTGTAAAAATAATAAAGGTGGGATACAAATGGATAAATAAAAATGCCATTTTATCGTGATGTTCTCCAACCTGACCCCTTTCAGATCTGTTGGGGATGACTTCCAGAATTCCTGTCTCTGGAATTGGCAGCCAAGGGTGCCCATTGGAGCTGGCTGGTCAGTTCACGTGGACCTGTCCTGCTTCTAGCTCCTAAAGCTTTCCTTCTCTTCTTCCTCTTCCTCCTCCCCAGCTTGTACTTCAACGAGATCAGCGAAGAAGGCAAGCAAGCCCTGCACGAATTGCGCAAGAACCAGGACGGCCTCCGAGTGCTCATTTACCTGACCATGGGAGCAGATGTGTCCGACTACTGGGCCATCATCCTGAACGTGGTCCAGAAGAACCTGCCCATCTGGGACCGGGACCGGGTGCAGCAACATCTGGGGCTGCTCCTGGAAGATCTTCAGTGCAGCCGACGACAGACGGTCAACCCCTGGAAGAAACTCAAGTTCATGAGAGTGGAAGGGAAGGTCAAGAGGATGCTGGGTCACATGCAGAGGGGCACCCTTTGACCCTCGGTTCCCAGGAGCCATTGGTTCCAGGACTGCTGACACGGGGCTTCCTACCAGGCATTGAAACACCGGTTGATTCAGATGCCACAGTGAATCTAGTTGGCTACCATGATTACTGGATGGGGTTGGCTAAGTTGGCCCTTCAGGGCTCTTCTGATGTTGTTAGGAAACTAAGTTGGCAGGTACGGTAGACTAGAGGTGTCCAACCTTGACGACTTTAAGACTTGTGGACTTCAACTCCCAGAATTCCCCAGTCAGTTGGGGAAGGGATGTACTGGCTGGGGAATTCTGGAGTTGAAGTCCACAAGTCTTAAAGTTACCTCTTTGTAGAAACATCTGCCAATGAAAGACGGATTAATATATCCATCTCACATATCAGGTGGAGGATTCCTGCCTTAATCTCATCTCTATATTTGCTGGTTAAAATTAGCTTTTGCCACCTGTTGCCTTCCAGGCAGGTTGGACTACACTGCCCATCACTTCCAGTTGGCCTGGGCCCAGACTGATACATCCGGAGAACAGTAAGTTGGAGAAAGAGGATTCATACAAGATGTTTGTGCTTTTGCAGAACATGGTGTGCATATTTTTTTAAAAAAAAATTACAAACAACACAGAAGCTGTTGGCAAGATCCCTTTGTCATTTGGTGCTGTGCATCCTTGTGGCAAACACAGTGTGGTGATTTTTTCCCCCATAGTTTATTCCGGGGAGGAAAGGATGGTAGTTGCAATGGATGCTCGATTATACATTTAGTCCTCAATTTACGACAATTGAGTGCAACATTTCTGTTGCTAAGTGAGACAGTTGTTAAAAAGTGATTTCTGCCCCCATTTTCTTGCAACCATTATTAATTAAATCACTGCAGTTAAATTGGTAATATGGTTGTTAAATGAATGCGGCTTCCCCCTTGACTTTGCTTGTCAGATGGTCACAAAAGGAGATCCTGTGACCCCAGGGCACGGCAACCATCATAAATATGAGTCAGTCGCCAAGGATTTAATTTGGATCATGTGACCATGGGGTCGTAAATGTGAAAAACGGTCAAAAATCATTTTTTCCAGTGCTGTTGTAACTTTAAACGGTCACTAAATGAAATGTTGTAAATCGAGGATCACTTGTAAAAGGGATCTTACCGGTTAGTTCAGGGGTAGGCAATCTTGGCTCTTTTATGACTCATGGACTTTAACTCCCAGAATTCCTGAGCCAGCATGACTCAGCTTGGAAACCTCTTCCTTTCCCCTCAGCATGGCTGGCTCAGGAATTCTGGGAGTTGAAGTCCACGAGTCATAAAAGAGCCAAGGTTGTCTACCCCTGGGTTAGGTGATATTTAGCCAAATGTGCTAGCGAGAATGCAGATATTTTTTTAAAATGCTTTGATGGAGTTGACGAGAAGAGTCGAGGCTGACCCAGCGTTTCCCCATGTGTGTAATACAAAGAGAGAAATTATTCTCTCTATCCTTCCCATTGCATCCTTTCTCTCTCACTCCTTCCGTTGGTACGACACTCCAAATAACCTCACATCCGATTCCGCACCACACAGCGACTTTTCTCCCATTTGCCGAAGTTATTACCCTTGGCGGGAAGAATATGCGCTACATACGAATCTAAAAAGATGAATGGTCGTGTCACATGTCACTGAGGACTAGCAGCTTGTGGGATTTGGTGGCCTATAACCCTGCTCTTTTCTTTGGTTTGGGGGTGGGGTGGGATCAGTGGTGGGATTCAATAGGTGAACAACCGGTTCTCTGTGTGGATGCTGCTTCTAGAAGTCCATTCTGGGCCTGGGCCACAAAAAAATAGCTACCAGTTCTGATGAACTGGTGTGAACTGGCTGAATCCCACCACTGGGTGGGATCCTTTCAGCTTTTTCTACCCAACGGGTGATTGGCTGGATTCTTTTGCAGAAATGCAGAGAAAGGATGCAATAATGTGATACAAGATGTGATACGATCTTGTCGTTCATCTCAGCCAGATTTCTAGACTGGGTTTAAGATCCCAACAACGCGGACCAAAGCAGGGATTTAAAAAAGGGTTGACTCGTCGCTGGGGTGGGAATTGTTTGCCTTTGTGCCTTGAGAAAACTCAAAGCTTGTCCTTGTTGTATGACCCGTTTGGGACTGGGACTTCTGTTACTAAGCGAAGCAGGTGCTAAGGGAGTCACAGGCAACATTATGACCTTTTTTTCCCCACATCGCTAAGCAGATTGCAAGGTTGTTAAGTGAGTGCAGCTCTCCCCCCCCTGACTTCGCCTGTTGAGGAAACGCCCTGGGAAGGCAGCAATCGCATGACCCCCGTTGCAAATACTTGCTGGTTGCGAACTGCCCGGATTTTGATCACATGACCTCAGGGATGCTGTGATGGTCAAAAATGCCATCACCATCATAACTTTGAACAGTCGCTAATTGAACGATCGTTAAATCAAGGCCTAGCTGTACATCCAGGGCTTATACGTCCTGTTTCTATAGCCAGAAAAAAATAAACAAATGTGCATTGGATATTAAGTGCGCAATTGGAGACCAGCTACCACAAGGTGAGAATTTGAAGGACTGTTTCATACAGAATGGATTAATATCGTTCGGCTGAGCGGAAGCAGGTTTGGCAAACATTTTTTGAGAAGATTGATCCTTGACGTCTCTGAGCTCTGACGTTTGCACAGAGCCTGCCAGTCGAGGGGCAGTCTATCTTGAAATGCCAACTACCAGGGACAAACAAGGTGGGTTTGTCACGAACGCTTTCACTTTGGTTCCAATTGCTCTCATAAACGCAAGTGCACTCACAACTGCTGGACTCCGGAGGAGTAGCCAAGAGCATATATTTCCCGGTTGTAACAAAGGCATTAAAATAAACTTCCAGCTAATGTTTTGCATTATAATTTCCTGCTTGTTGCATTATTTAAACGCACCGCTGATTCGTAATACCTCCTTGCCGATTGTTAAAAAAAAAAGGAAAACAAACAAAAAAAAAAACCCTAAATAGAAGGACAAACCACATTCCTCTGAAAAGAAACCTGAACGTTTGCCAAAGAGCAAAAGAAGTTGGTCTTAAAATATTTTTTTTCCTGCGTCAAAGACTCAGCTTGAGAATATTATTCATCGGTTTTATTTATCACCCTCATTCATCACTTCTCTGAAAAAATGAAAAACATTCACACACAAACCTGGTGACGTCCAGATGACAGATGCATAATGCAAACAGACCTGAGCAGAGCCTTTTCGGGATGTGCAATTCACACTTTCGCTGCTCACTTGGCGTGCAAACCCCTCGCCTGTCCCATCACCTCTGGATCCCAGAACCCCCAGCTGCCGAGCCCAGCTGAACGTCCCTTGCAGGAATGAAAAAGCTATTTTTTACACTCCGCTTGACTTCGGGGAAGAAGGAAGCAACGTTCAGAAAAAGATTCTTGTGCTGTTTAAATATTAAACGTCTCAGGTTAAACTGCCACCTCGCCCCGGACCTTGGACTTCAGAGTGGGAGCAGACATGAAGCAGAAAAAGGGTAAGTGGTCTGGGGCTGAGCAGCAGAGAGCACCCCTAAACTACAGGGTTGGGTTTCTTACTTAGAGGGTGAGGGGCCTGGAGGAACGGAGGTTTACCAAGTGGTGACCGTGACTAGCCACCATCAACCTCTCCAGAGGTTTTTGGGAATGCCAGTCTTTCGCGTGTTTGTTTTCTGTGTCTGAGCGTGTTTCTGGGTTTGACACCCAAATGAAAATAGCAAATAGCCCTGCTGTTTGAAGGCATTCATAACCATCTCTGTTCTTTGCAACCTGATGTTGAACAAGTCTTAAAAATCACCCCTTCTTCTAAGGGAACTTTAAATCCGAAGCTGTCAAAATTCAGAAGGAGAATCTGCCAATGTTTTGCTCCCAGCAGGACCCCAGAGGTTGCAAGAAGGTAGAAGTTTAATCCCTGGAACGATTCCCCTCCATTGAACCCCCAAGCCAAGCTAAATTGAGCCATAGATTCTCCCCCGCCCTCCTTCCTTGTTATGTTGCTGTTGTCAATCAACATAACCACCATTGCATCAATTAAATCCAGGAATAAATTTCCTGCTCTCAGTCCAACCTTCTCCACCTAGTTTTGCTTTGCTTAACAGGGTGGAAGAAGAGATGATTATCAGGCCAGCGTTAATGATCTTGCTACATCGGTAATCTTTTAACAGTGAAGTACAACAAGTGCATTTCAAAAACACATTGGGTTTTTGCAGCTTGAATCTATCCAGTGGAGAAAAATCTTGTTCAGCTATTTGGCTGTTTGGCTCATGCTTAGGCCTTGCTTTTACAGGGCTCCAGGATACCACGGAGTCAACCATGTAAGTGCCACGCTGGGGGGGGGGGCAGGCACAAGCAAAACCAGCAGACCTACCAACTTTTCTTTCTCCCCCCTCCCTCCCCACCATGTGCAATTCCACACATTCCAACTGTGCATGCAGGCCAGTTTGCACAAACAAGTTGATGGGATGGGTTGATGGTTGGCTAAGCTTAAAGCCATCCATTAAAGATGGCGCCGTGGATGGCAGCCTCGGTGAAATGCTGTCTAGTGGGTCTGATCAATGACCTGTTAGTTGCTGTTTATATGTACACTGTGAGCATATGCAATGGAGACCAATTACTTGTGTGTCCAATCACATTTGGCCAATAAAGAATTCCATTCTGTTCCATTCCATTCTACTGTATATTCTATTCTATTCCATTCCATTGTTCTGACGATAAGCTCCAGAATTAAGGAACACTAACCATCAAAGAAATAAGAAAATATTTCCATTTTGGTGGCTTTTCAGCCAGGGTGTCTGCAAACTGTGATGAGAAAATGTTGAGATGGGGGCCATGGGGATGTGACCAAATCTGCTTGTTTGTGGCTTGGCCCACAGGTAGAGCTTTGATGGCATTGCTGTGGCCCCAATCTCGAGTTTTTGGACCCTGTCCTGTGAACACCTGCTTCTCAACCTTTGAAATGCTCCTTCTTCTTCCTCTCTTGCAGGAAATTTGAATTTAACCCGAAAGAAGGAATTGATAATCCCGCCTTATCTCTGGCAGAGGATTCCGGTAACAAGAGGGCTGGCGGTGGCAGCTTGTGGGTGGGAAAGGAAGGGCTGGTGTTTTCCTGAGGCTGTTTGGCAAGTGGGTTGCCCAAACGTTTCCATCAGACAACGTTCGTCTGCAAGCATCAGCTTCTCCCTTCTCCCTGGGTTCCCTCTCAACCAGCGTTCAACTGAGCTCCCTTCCAAGTTCTTTGCAAACGTCACGGCCAAGTTCTGAGCGTTCTACTAGACAGGACTCAAGACAAGGAATTGTTAGCGTGTGATGGGAGGTGGGTTCAAGGGTTCAGCCTCCTCCTGAATTCAAGAGAGCCCATCTACCAAGGAAGGTTCTCATAAGGGATTGTAATAGAATCGCTGTAGCTCAGGATTGACCAATGGGGTTCTTGGTGCTGAGTTTAGTGGGTTTTTTGCAGACATTTCATGACCTGACTAGGTAACATCATCAGTGCTAGAAGGGAAGGGGGGTTGTGTTATGGAGGAGAGGAGGAGGAGGAGGAGGAGAATTGTGGGGTCCTTGGTGCTCTGTGAGCTTGATGCTTTTCTTGCAGACGTTTCATGACCTGATTAGATGACCTCATCAGTGCTAGAAGGGAGGGGGAGGAGGAGGGGGAGACGACTATGTTATTGATCTTAGTTATTTTCTTGCAGACGCTTCATGATCCAACTCGGGAACATCATCCGTGCTCTCATCATCAACGTTAGCATTGATGAAGTTCCCTAAGTGGGCCGTGAAAGATCTTCAAAAAACCAATCAGGCTGAAAGACCACCAAGGACTCCATAGTGGTGGTTCTGCGTGTGTCTGCTGGCTGGGGTATTCTGGGAGTTGAAGTCCATAGGTCTTAAAGTTGCCAGGATTGGGGATCCCTGATATAAAGAACTCGGAGTCCTTTCACTCAGCCTATCCTTTTCCTCCATTTTCAGTCTTCCCATACAAAGGTCCACCCTCCTCAGCCAAGCCATTTTGAAAAGAGATGCCCCTTTTGTCTCCCTCAGAACCAGAAGGCACTTCCCAGCTACGCTTCTGTTTACTGAGGAAAGCTGGTGCTGAGAGCCTGGGCTTCTCGTTGTGTCAGGAGGCTGGAGGCTTGTGCCCCATCGTGCGGAAGGTGACACCGGGAGGGCTGGCCTACCGTAGAGGCCTCCGGGATGGAGACCGAATCCTTGAGGTCAACGGAGTTAACGTTGAAGGCACGGGGTATCTTCGGGTAAGGTTTTGATGGCTCTCCTGCTTTGATCTGGGTATATTGGGTGCCTCTGCCTACAGGCACAAATGTCCAAAATTAAACAAGTCTCACAAATGAGCAGCTTCACAACCTTGGCAACTTTTAAGGCATGCGGACTGCAATGCTGGCTGGGGAACTCTGGGAGTTGAAGTCCATATCTTTAAGGTTACTTAAGGTTGAGAAACACAGCTGTGGTCAACTTCATCCATCTAGATCAGGGCTCTCCAAACTTGGCCAAGTCTTGTGGGCTTCAACTCCCAGAATTCCCCACTGAGGAATTCTGGGAGTTGAAGCCCACAAGTGTTAAAGTTGCCAAGTTTAGAGAGCCCTGATCTAGATGGTGTCCATACTGGAACACGCTGGCAAGGGAATTTTGGGAGTTGAAATCCACACATCTTAAAAGTTGTCAATGTTGGGAAACCCTTATCTAGATGATGACTACACTGGGATCAAATGTTGGAGCAGATTGTCAGCTTCTGACGTTTGATTTTCCCTTTCCAGATGTCTCTCTCTCTCACTCTCTGTCTTGTCTCGTTTCCAGGTGATCTGGAAGATCAAGAGTAGCTCAAAGCAGGTCTTGCTCACTGTCCTGGAAGGGAACACCTACGAGGTAGCCAAAGCCCTGAACCGGGATCTCAACCAGCTTTTGTCCAATTACGGCAGGCCACGCCTGTGCTGTGTTTCCAAAGGCTCAAGTGGCTTTGGCTTCAGCGTGTCAGCTCCAGAAGGTAGCAGCAGGAGTCGTTTCTGCTTATCTCCGTTTGTGCTCACGGTTTTGCACTGTTAACTTGAAAGATTCTGCCTTGGGAGAAGTCAGCTCTCTTGTTCTGAGTTGGGTTATTTATGCATCTGGTTTCTGCTGCTAGATTCACATTTGACATGCATATCATGCAAGGGGCAGGACCAGCAAGAGGAATGGAAAGAGAATGGAGGCGTTGCAGCCAAAGAATAAGCAATGGATCATACGAGGCAGGATGAGACATCTCCAAAGAGACGTGCTGAGACAAGGCCTGGCCTGGCCTTCCTCTCCCTTGGGATGACCGGTTCTGCCCCCAAGCTCAACTGATATGGGATCCAAACTGGTGCTGATGGAAGGGTCAGCTGATGCCCAGCCAGCTTTTTTTCCATGAAAGGGGAGAGGTTTATGTCCTTTACTTTGGGCCTAAAAAGGACAATCTTGCAGATAAATAATTAGTCACAGCTTCCCTCTGCCAGAATCTCCAACGCTGTAGTTGGTCAACATTCCTGGTAGTTCTCCATTAGAGATGCCTCAGGATTAAAAAAATCCACAAAAAGTCCTCTAAAATCTTTAAATGCTCTTAAAAACAGGAAGGACTTTTAATCTAATCTTAATGCTATAATTGGGTTTTTTTATGTTAAGCACAGCAGGCCTAGTTTGCTTATATTAGCTGTCTTGAATGTCTGTCTGTCTGTCTGTCAGTCAATCTATCTGTCTGTCTGTCTCTGTCTATCATCTCTGTCTCTCTCTCAACTTTCTATCTATCTAATTTAGGTACTGCCCATATCATCTCAGAGTGACACTTGGTCGTTTACAGCAAAAAGCATAAAACCATATATCTGGTTATATTATATGTGTGTGTGTGTGTGTGTGTGTATGTATGTACAGTATATATATATGGTTACATTATATTGAACAATATAGTATATTGCATTACAGTATGTATACCGTATTGTATTATATATTACAGCATATAATATATGGTTATATATTATCATCTCTCTCTCTCTATAAACAACGTAATATATGTTTATGATATATTGAACAGCATGGTGGGGAATCAGCAATAAAGACCAGTCTTTGTAGCATACAAAACATGATTTATTTGTCTCACTATGTTGAGTACATCCATCCAATTGTAGTTTGCTCAAGAAAGCAAGCTTGGGTAAACCAAGAGTTCACACAAAGTACAGCATTATTGCAGTCACAGCATGGACACTCAGAGGCCTTTGTTTAATTTCTGTTACTTGTTCTTCTACTCCGCTAAAAAAATGAGTACCGGAGAAAGAGGAAGGTGGCTGAGGGCAGGTCTGCTGGTAGAGGGAAGAAGCTACCAAGGAAAGCTGGTTGTTTTCAAGAGCGCAAATTCTCTTCCTTCACAAGGCTTTCTCTTGATGTTGTGGTCCTTCTGGGCAGGTGTGACCGGCATATTCCAGCTCTCCGTGCTGCAGAATGGGCCAGCTCAGAAAGTAGGGGTGCCGCATGGTTCCTGGCTGGTGGAACTCAACGGCGTCAGTGTGAAGAACTGGACGACTGCACAACTCAACCAAAAGGTTAAGTGCCAGTCTCTTACGTTCCATTCCACCCTACCTCTAGGATGGAGGTTAGAACTTTCCACCTTCTTTTGGTGGAGATTACACTGTACGTATTGTGGGCCACATGGCCTCCATATCTGGTCATGGAAGATCTTCCCACTTCATAAGACTTCCCCGTTTGGTTTTCTCTGCACCAGAGGAAGGGGTGAGTAATTCTTTCCTGGGTCTTGACTGGATAAAGTCAATGATTCTGGACTAAAGAGAGCTCTTTCCTTCCCAAAACTTTACCCTGGCCATCCTCTGGGTGTTTTTACGCAGCCCCTTCTCCTTTCGTGGCCAAATAATTTCCCAACCCTGTCTAGAACTAGTCTTCAAGAGGACGTTTGATCATTGTTCTCTTTTCTCTCTCTCGCTCTGATTTGGATTCAGATCAAACAGAGCAGCAGCCCCATGGGGCTCCTGGTGATGGACAGCCGGTCAGAAGCGGCGTACCGACAATGTGGAGTTAAGGTTACAGCTGGCCTGGCTGATGCCTCCTGGGTTCCGTTCCAAGTGAGGAAGCTTCAGATGAAGCGAGGAGAAGACGGATATGGCTTCTTGATGAAAGAAGAAAAATCTAGCTCGGGGAAGATTGGTGAGGCACCTCCATTGCAGGCTCCATTAAAGCTAGTCCTTGACTTACCACCGTATATTTAGTGTCCAGTCAAAATTACAACTTTGAAAAACGGGACTTAGGACCGGTCCTTGTATTTGTGACATCACCGCATCCCCGTGTCACATGATCGAAATCTGTTGCCTTGTCAATCAGCATGTGTTTATGACCGTTGCAGCATCCCGGGGTCATGTGATCACCATTTGCCACCTTCTCAGCCAGCTTCCAACCAGCAAAATCAATGGGGAAAGCTTGATTCACTTAACGGCTAACAACTGCAGTAATTTGCTTAACAACCAGAGCAAAGAAGGTCTTAAAATTGGATGAGGTTCTCTTAACAACCTTGCTTCTAACCTCTAGTTCTAATTGTGGTTGTAAGTCAGGGACTACCTGTATAGCTTCTCCTAAAAATATAAATCAAGTGACTCTGGGGCATGATAGAGAAGATGCTCAACCATTCTTCTTTCTGCTTCTTCCAGTCTGAAGCTTTGTCTTCCAGCTTCCCAGGAAGTGAAAGTCAAGCCAACTTCCGCTCACAGTTGGTGGAAGGATTACAGGCTACAAGATTACAGCTATCTTGGGTTACTCCTGACAACCCAGCCATACAGGCTAGGAGTTGGGAGCTGTATTCATCAGATCCACCAGATTAGGAAAGCCAGATTTAGAATAGATCAATGGCGGAGGAAGCTGGATCCCATTCCTTAGCAGATCTCCAGTTTTCCTTCCAAGTAGGTTGGGCTGTGTTGTGAGAAAAACCATGCCCGTCAGATGGGGATGGAGAAAAACATTTCAACTAGCTTCTAGGCCAGTGTTTCTCAACTGTGGCAACTTGAAGATGGGTGGACTTCAACTCCCAGAATTCCCCAGCCAGCATGGGAAATTGGCTGGCATGGCTGGCTGGGGAATTCTGGGAGTTGAAGTCCACCCATCTTCAAGTTCCCAAGGTTGACAAACACTGGTCTAGGTAGAAGTACTCATGGCCCAATCATAAACTGATGTGGAAAAGAGGATCAGAAGTTTATATCTTGGAGAAAATTTGGAATCTGGTGCCTGGAAGTTCTTAGCTATTATCTGCTGGAATGATTTCACGCATGGCCTGTCCTGTCTTTCCTCTCTTTGACTTGCAGCCCAATTTTTGAGAGACCTGGACGCTGGGCTCCCAGCTGAAAAGGCAGGGATGAGAGAAGGCGACTGTCTGCTGGCGGTGAACAGTGAGGTTGTCGAAGACCTTGACCACCAGGAGGTGGTGTCGAAGATCCGTTCTGACAACCAGCGGGTGACTCTCCTGGTCATCGACTCAGAAGGAAGCAAGTTCTACAATACGGTACCCAAGTCAAGATTATTTCTCTTCCCAGAAACATGGAGATAATAATACGCAGAAATCACTTGGGGAGTCTTTATGCAGATATAATCTATGTACCATATTCTTCTATCTAGGGAGTCCTCGACTTGTATCACAGTTGGGACCACAATTTCTTTGGCTAACCAAGCTGGTTGTTAAGTGAGCGGTGCCTGACTTTATGACCTTTTCTGCCAGGGTTCTTAAGCGAATTATTGCAGTTGTTAAATGAATCAGGCAATCCTTAACTTTTGCTTGTCAGAAGCCTCTAAGGAAGATCACCGATGGCAATTTATGACCCCAGCTGGTAAATACATACTGGTTACCAAGTAATCCAAATTTTCAATTTCAATTCAGAATAGAGCTGGAGATCTTCTAGTCCAACCCCCTCCTCAAGCAGGAGACCCTATACCATATTTTGTTCATGTGACGGGGTGGGGGAATGCTGCACAGATTGTAGTAAGTCATTTTTTCCCATTTTGAATGGACACAAAGAGTTGTAAATTGAATTTCTCCATCAAGTTATACACTCAGACTGGGAAAGCAAAGAAATCCCACCGCTCCCCATTAAACTACAATTCAGTAGGATTCTCCAGGCAAACATGTCACCTGGTGTAAAAATGATGCATGTGGACAGTGTGTTTATGAACGTGTGGGGTACTTAAGAAGGGCTAGACTTGACTCCACCCCATGAGACAATAAGAATTTTTAAAAGCTGGTTTTAGGAATTGACTGATTGATTTGTTGACAATGCACCAATTCTTGACTTGGGTCTACATTCCAGGTTGGAGTATCTCCTTTAGTCTTCTATGATGATGAAGTCTTCCCATCAAGCTTTCTGATCACCTGTGGTTCTACTTCTCCAGGCATCCTTCAGGAACAAAGCTGGCCCACGTTGATACCATGTCACAGTCAAATTTCTAGCAATATAGGCCCACCTGGGCAACCTGATCCTACCCCATGGACCTTCACCAGAGAGGTAAGAAGTCCTAGCAAGTCTTAACACAGTGTTTCTCAACCTTGACAATTTTAAGGCATGTGGACTTCAACTCCCAGAATTCCACAGCCAGCATTGCTGGCTGTGGAATTCTGGGAGTTGAGGTCCACATGCCTTAAAATTGTCAAGGTTGAGAAACACTGACGGAACATAATAACAGAATTGGAAGAGACCTTGGAGGTCTTCTAACCCCTTGCTCAAGCAGGAAACCTTATACCATGTCAGACAAATGCTTGTCCAATCTCTTCTTAAAAGCCTCCAGCGATGGAGCACCCTCAACTTCTGGAGGCAAGGAGTGCCACTGATTAATTGTTCTCACTGTCAGGAAATTTCTTGTCCTTCCTTTAGGTGCTTGGAAAATAGATTGACCTCTTTTTTGTGGCACCCCTTAGATATTGGAACACTGCTATCATGTCACACACACATACACACGGTCTTTCTTTCCGTTAAACTAGACATACCCAATTCCTGCAACCATTCTTCATATGTTTCAATTTTCTATGAAGTCGGTGACCTGACTTTCTCCAGCCTAAGCTCACCTCTTACATTTTGAGGATAGACCACCAAAGTGGGATTTGTTTGGTGTTACATTTCTTTTTCTGGGATCGTCTGTGGAAACATGACCTAGCTTCTCCTTGTTCCACACAGGACCATGATGGGTTCCGCCAGGCCTTCTAAAGATGGTTCCTTGGCCTCTATGGAAAAAATGAGCACCTTTGCCTACCCTTCCAGCATCGCAAATTGATCTCAGCTCCCCAAGACAACTTTTCCAGGCCTTCTTCTGCCTTACGTGTCAATCTGTCTTGGCACTCAAAATGACTCCTGCAGAACTTGGCAAGCGGGACGAAGATTCAGATCAGACCATGGTCAGAGAGATGGAATACGTGAGTCAGGGCCATGGTGGGGGAGTTCTTTTGGGCAAGATTTTTTTGAAAAACGAAGGTGCGGGAAATAATTGCAGTTCGAGAATAGCCCTCGTTCATTGCTTTTTGTGGCAGAGAAGCTAACGTGGACGTCCTATCTGGATGTGACGGCATCTCTGCATGATTTCTACCAGTGTAATGTGAATGAAGATCATTGACCACTTCCTTCTGACTCTATCTCCCTCCATCAAAATATTCCCTCTGCTGTAGGGGTCTCCAATCTTGGCGACTTTTAAGACTTGTGGACTGCAACTCCCAGAATTCCCCAGCCAGCCATGCTGGCTGGGGAATTCTGGAAGTTGAAGTCCACAAGTCTTAAAGTTGCTAGGGCTGGAGGTCCCTGCTCTACTGGAACCAATAAAATCAAATATTGGACTTCCTTTCTTCTTTTTCTGACAATCAACCCATCAATTTTACGTAAAACAGACTGTGAATGTTGGCAGAGGATAAGGGAAGGGGCTTCCAATCCCAGAGCTCCTCTCCAAGATTTTTTTCCGCGTGGAGATGCACAGCACCTCCTGTTCTTGGGGTACACCCTGAAGAGCACAGGATTACAACCTCAGCCCTGTTAAACGGGAAGGAATGTGTTCTGAAACAGAAAACTGAAGGAGGCAACAGACTGCCCGATCTGGAATTTCCTTCCTTCCTTCATTTGAGCTGCCTAAGAAAGGAGTTCGTTAATGATGGAAAGTACTTTTTACACCCCTAAAGACTGGATTGTCTGGATTCACCCGCCACACTAAACCATAGTTTGTTCTAAGAGTGGTTTGTTGCAAGGCAGAGAGAGCAACTTCACACATGACACTAAACCAGCTCAAATAAAACACACCGTGTTTTCATGTGGTGGGTTAGCTGCTGAGCAACGTTGATTAATAACTCCGTATTTTATTGTGTGGGGTTCTTGGTGCACTCTGAACCTTGGCTGTTTTCTTGCAGACTTTTCATGACCCAACTAGGGAACATCATCAGTGCTAGAAGGGAGAGGGGTCTGCTTTCTGTTTATACACAGGTGGCTTGCCCTGTTGGTATTGGTGGGACTGGTCTTGGTGGTTCCTTGATTAGGCTGCTGTTTCCTGTTAGCTTGTTTATCTGAGTTGGTAGCTCCTTATAATAATAATAATAAAGTTGGAAGGGATCTTGGAGGTCATCTAGTCCAACCCCCTTCTCAGGCAGGAAACCCTATACCATTTCAGACAAATGGCTGTCCAGTCTCTTCTTAAAAACCTCCAGTGTTGGAGCATTCTCCGCTTCTGGAGGCAGGTTGTTCCACTGGTTAATTGTTCTAACTGTCAGGAAGTTTCTCCTTAGTTCTAGGTTGCTTCTCTCCTTGATTAGTTTCCATCCGTTGCTCTTGTCCTGCCTTCAGGGGCTTTGGAGAATAGCTTGACTCCCTCTTCTTTATGGCAACCCCTGATATTGGAACACTGCTATCATGTCCGCCCTCGTCCTTCTCTTCGTTAAACTAATTTAATTAATTTCCTTAATTGGGGTGTTGTTTGTGGCTTGGTTGTTGGTCTATGTTAACCTTGATGTTAATCTCTTTTTATCTGGGTATTGGTTGCTGGTGAGGAGGAGTTTAGATCTTTTTGTTTCCTTTTTGGTTTTTTGATTGGTATGTAGAAGTGTTTATCTCCATGTGTCTGCTGATGGCTGATTGGCAAGAAAACATCACCAAGCTCAGAGAGCACCAAGGACCCCACAGTTCAACCTTGAGCTACAAATATTCCCTTCTAACCGTACTGTCAAGCTTGAAGAATGAATATGATGTTGCCATCATTATTGCTTCTCAGCTTGCCAGGGGGGAGGAGAGGGGAAAGTGGAATGCAGGCTCCAGACGACATGAAGTCAGCCCTTGTGAACCAAGGACGTTTCAGCAGGTGTTTGCAAACCCACAGAAGACACTTTCTCATAACAATATTTTGACACTCGATTGGACCATGTGAGCTGCACTAAAAGGGGGAGGAAGAATTCTATACTTTAATTATAGTGGTTTGCGTGGGAAATAACCAGAGCTGCTTTTGCTTTCATCTGTGCCGAAATGATGTACTCAATAAAGTTTTGCATTAACAGATTGGATGGTCGCAATGGTGCTTGCTCAGTTGAATTTGTCAGTCAGAACTTTGACAAGTATATTTTAATGTCTGTGGCAATATGAGACCCCAGGGAGGATAAGGAGAGAGACCTTAGCTCTGCTTGAACGCTGCTTCAGATCTCCAGCGGGTTCAGTCCAAACTCTTTTAGCATATTCTTATATTCTGTATGGATGAGGGCAGCCTCAGTCTCCCAGCCCAGTTTGGCGGTTTGTAGCTTGGAAAGCACCTGATCCAAACTATCCTATTGAAAGGAAGTAAGAACAGGGAAGGCATCAGGTCAAGGGATTAGAGCACTGAAACAGGATGTGGTCTCTGACGGAATGTCCAAAGGGCAGAAGGAAGAGAGAGAGACAGAGACGTGCTGGGTTGTTTGCATTCATGTTACCTGAGAACTTCCCCTCTGAAAATGTCTTGGGAGGTTTGGGGAGCTGGATGGGTCATTTGTGGGCCAAACAGACATGCCGAGTGATGGAAGGAAAGATCTCAGTGGTACTGAATGCTTTTTCAGGCATAAGGATTTAAAGGGGGAAAAAAAATGCAAACCAACAAATCAATTTCTCTGCTTCAATAGGATGATGAGACGAAGAACGTTGCCCAATAATTTTGACTATCGTCATGTTGAAGAGGAACCTATAACCCACAGAAGCACATACTCTGTCAAGCATAGTTTAACATGAGCAATCGTGGGAATATTCACCTCTCTCTCTCTCTCTTTCCTGAAACTTTGGTAATGAGCAATGCTGAACATGTTGTCTCCTCCCCTATGTTCTTGTCTGGGCCAGAATCCATGTCCTTCCCATCCCCGACTCACGTGCAGGATTCTTTCACATTCCTTCTCCATCTCCTCGGCCTTCTGCTGCATCTCGGCCACAGCTTTGTCCTTCTCCTCCGAGATCTTTGCTCGGTCCTCTTCACTCCGCTGCAGTTTTCTTTGGCAGGCAGCTGCCGAGGACAAATGAGTTGGGTGGGTGGGAATAGAGAACAAGGTGAGGGAGAGTGGAAGAGAGCTGAGCCAATGGCTGGCTGGGGAATTCTGGGAGCTGAAGTCCACACGTCTTAAAAGTTGCTTAAGGTTGAGAGACATTGCTCTAGTCAACTCCATACATCTAGATGGTGTCCACACTGGGATCAAATGTTGGAGCAGGCTCTCAGGATATGACTGACTGGGGAATTCTGGGAGCTGAAGTCCACACAACTTAAAGTAGCGAAGGCTGAGAAATACTGCCCCAGGGCCTTCAGTACTCGGAGATGAGACGCCAAAGTTATCCCAAGATTGGGCACCTTCAAAATTTTTGCAGTTAACAACAGCAATAAATCATTTTCCTAGTGTTGCTAAGAAGATTTGACAGGTGCAAATCAAATATGTACATTTTTTAAAAAAAATGGCATGGTTTATTTTTCAAATGGGGCAAAACCTGGACTTTATTCCTATAGATGATATCCTAATCTGATGCACTCACCTCAAATTATTATTAATATTTTTTGTTTTTTTTAAATAGGTTCAGAATACCTTCTTTAATACTAGCTGGGAAGGACACACATTATTATCTCTGCTGCCTTCTCCCTGAACAGAAGTGCATTGGGAGGCCTCTTTTGTTATCTTGTTCTGAGCAGCAGAAAAAAAAACCCACAGAAGCTCTGCCTGAAGAAATTCTGAATTCTGCAGCAGGGAAACATTTTGCAACTGCAGTTTTGTTTGGCTAGAGTCAATATTCTAAGAGTTTACATAGAACAATCCCAGGGGAGAAACTCCAGATTCCTATTCCAACTGCTAATAATGTTAAAAAGATGCAAGAAAGTGGGTACAGCTATTTCCTTTATTCCTTCCTAGTCCTTAAACAGCAGCCTTGAACGGCCACAGCCCTTCTGTGTCACCTTCTGTAAGGCCAAACGTTTGTGTAAATACCAAGTTGTTCTTGCAGGTTCTGCTTTTCAGCTTCCAAACGCTGTATCTGGGTGTCAGTCTGGCGCTGAAACTGCTGATATTGACGAATCATCTCTGAAACGGAGGGAAGAAATGGAAGTGGCATCAGGGGGAGGATTAAACCCTTAGTCATCCCTAGACTCCTAGAGGCTATTTTGGTAGCATCCAAGTGTGATGCTTGAGTGTACAGTAACCTAAAGGGATAGGTCCCTTCCGATCACAAGGCAGAGAGGTTGGGTTGAAGGCAAAATGGGGTCTCAAGAAGAGCCAAGCATCCTACAGAAGGAAATTTTGATTGAGGTTTATCTTCTCTAGCTCTTTTGGATAGGGAGAAGAAGCTTGGAGTCTTCTCAAGATAAATTGATTCTCTACATCACAAATCCATCAGCAAAAATCTACCCTCTAACTAGTAGGAAAGAGTGGCTTGCAAATACATCCCCCCCTTTGAAATGTATCAAGCTGAAGGTTTTCCTAGAACATGAGATTCATGGGCAGGATCATGGTTGATGTCTATTCACAGAAACCAAGGTATAGCAGGGTATAAATCTAATCCCTTAACCAGTGTTTTTCAACCACAGCAACTTTAAGATGGGTGGACTTCAACTCCCAGAATTGCTGGCTGGGGGATTCTGGGAGTTCCAAAAATCCAAACATCTTAAAGTTGCCACAGTTGAGACTAACTAAAAGTTAAAGAGGGCACAAATGGAAAAGATGCACATCAATAGCTAGACTGTGGAGAAAGGGTTATGGCTTCTCCGTAATAATGAATAAATCCCAAGTCTGTGCAACCTTAAAGAATATTACTGACACTGAAGAACTTCTTAGAACAGTCATTCTCAGAAAAATCTTCACATATTTCTTGATGTTGCTTTTAGGAGATGTGCTTTCTTAGGAGAGCTTCCCTAAACATTTTGATCAAGTGGATCCCCCAGAGGAATTAAAGAGCTAAGCTGTCAAGGCATCTTCCATCCAACTGCCAGTTCCATTTCTGGGAAAGGAAAGAATTGGTTTCTGCAAGCAATGATCAAGGCAGCAGTCTCGCCCACCTCCCCCAAATAACCTTCATAAATATCCTTTTTGTCTTTCTGGGCTTCCTCCAGGTTTCTCTCCAGTTCTGTCAGCCTCTGCCTGAATCCTTCCCTGTCGATCATGGCTTGTTTGGCCATGTCTCTCTGGAGAACTGCAAGGCAAAAGGACAAAGAAGCCATTTCACTATTCGGTCCTGTCTCGGGTCAGAAACTCAGGAACTAGAAAGGGGGAAATTATTAATTTAATATTTTTTTTAAAAAATAACAGCTTTAATGAACTATAGATTTGTACACTTCTAGCCCAGCACCAGGCCACATTAATGGAAGAGATATTTCTGAGCAGCAAATCGTTCTGTGTGCATCTCAGTCCCACTGGATTGTGCCACATTCACAGTAAATATCTTTGTATTCAGGGAGGACCCCCCCCCCCCAGTTTTCCATGTGGTCTCTAGTTCTAGCCAGACCAGTGCACAGTTTGTTTAAATATCTCCAGACTGTCCATTCTTCTTCCGAACCTCCAGGCAGCTCCTCAGAGAATTCTGTCCAATTATGAAGATGTTTTAATTGTTCCGTTTTGAGGTGGAGTAACCATCTCTTCGGTCGCAATCTAAAAAGCTCCTTCTTGATTTCAATTTTTTTGTAGGGGACACCTGGCCAAGTCTTTTCTTAAAATCCTCTGCCTCTGGTTTCTTAATAAAAACGATGAATCCTCTATTGGCACGATGCATTAAAATTAAGGGGTATATACTGGCGGATTCTTGCAAATGCTTTGTTATTGTGCCTTTTTTTCCCCATGTTCAATTCTTAGAGACTGCCTGGCCAGGTCCCTGCTGTTTTCTTGGCAAGGTCTTTCAGAAGTGGTTTGCCATTGCCTCCTTCCTAGGGCTGAGAGAAAGCGACTGGCTCAAGGTCATCCAGCTGGCTTTGTGCCCAAGGCAGGACTACTGTAGAACTCACAATCTCCCCGTTTCTAGCCGGATGCCTTCGCCACTACAGATCATCCCTGAGTTATGACTGGTAGTTTAGTGACTGTTCAAAGTTATCAGGGACTTCTGCTTATTTCTACTTATGACCTGGATTTGAAGTTCTGACAGTCACCCACATCTGAGGTCACACAATCACATTTTGGGCGTTTGGTAACCAGCTTGCATTTTACAGCCATTCGCTGTGTCTCATAGTCATGTGATTGCAGTTTCCGTATTTTTTTTTGCTTTTTCCTTCTGATTTCTGGCAACAAACCTCTATTGGGACAATGGATTCATTAACAACGGAGTCACTTAATGATCATCTTACTTGCTGGGTTGAACAACTGGCATGACCACAATTCCAGGCTCAATTATGGTGGGAAGTCAAGGAGCACCTGTATACCTAAGTGGCTTTCAAATGGCGGGGGAAGGGGGATCTTAGAGTATTACAGAAAGCAATGCAGTTCCACACATCCTACTCCCCTCCCAAAGCTACACAACCTGGATTGCTCACTCCGTTTTCCACATCTTTGCACAACTATCAAGCTCTCCTCACCCAAGTGCTGCTTAAGTGCGTCGGCCTCCAGCGATGCCTTTTTGTGTCTCTCCTCACCTGGAAGGAAAGGAGGGAAGAAAGAACAAATCCTGAAGAAATATGAAGGATGAAATTCCTCATACTTGGTATTTAGTTAAAAGTCAACCTTACAAGCCTTACACAGCACATCCAAGAAGGCATTTCGTAGAATCACAGCATCAGTCAAACATATAGTAACAGGAGCCTGAAGTACCAGGGAACTTCTAACAAACTAAGAGGGATGGGAGGCAGGAAAAACTGTTAATATTATTCCATTTCCTTTGAGTTACGCATTATTATTTCAGTGCTCAACATTATGGGACGAATAAGACATTGGACACAGAAAAATATTTTAACAAGTCACATTAATAACTTCTGTAATGTTATCTTTTCTTCCTTCAAAGTGAAAATGACAAATTTAAGTAGAACACTAATGCAGCCCATTTTTTTTATCAGTGACACATGATGAAAAAATAATTTTAAGCTAAGCTAGGTGTTTTTGTATACAGTTTGTGTTGGATTTTCAAATTTTAACAGTCTTGCTCCCAAGTATACAAAATAAGTAATTGTTTCGTGTTGGTTTTGATTTAATTTCCTCCTACTCTCTGCAAAAGTTTGGTTTGTATTCTTGTATAATACTTTCCATGGAAGGAATATAAAGGAAAAACTGCCTGCACCGAACTTTACCTAGAGCTGATGACTTTTGCTTCCTTCTTTCTTTCACTTTTCCTTTCTTCGGAAGAGGCATCCTCGGGAAGACTAAGCCTGTGCAACAGTCCCAATTTTTGGCAGAAATTCACGCTCTGCACTCCTTGGTAGTTCAACCGGTGTAGCAATTCAGATGTGTGTCTCACACCTGGTAGAAAAAATGAGGGTGTCTTTTCAGGTGGCAACAGGTTTTTTCCACCATAAAATTGCAAACGTTTGCTGTAGCGACAGCAGAAGCATCCAATGTGCAAAAGGCCTGAAAAAGCGACTGGATTTTAGCACGTCCCTCCCTGAAATCTGAGTTGTGTTTTTTCTGTGTTGCATGGCAACAGCCCTCCTTGGCTGCCATGGTGACTAAGGAAAGCTTAGCAAAAAAAAGAGTTCAGTGCACAGTAGCATTGAACTGATCAGCAAAGAAAAGATTTTGAGATTCGGGCCAAATGTTTCTTTTCCCCTTTTTTGCAGGGAGGGGAGGAAAAAAAGCAACGAATTAAATTAAGACAGCAGAACCAGATTCCGTCTTCTTGGCTGAAGCCCTTAGCCTATTTTTTAAAATTCACTTCCTTACCCTCTGCTTGTTCCAATTTTCTGCCCAGAGTGTTAAAGATCTGCACACAGTTTGGGCCATTGTGTTGGTCCTACCGAAGGTCCTCTCCACAGCAGAGTCCTGCAGATCTGGAAGACTTGAAGAGCACCAGGAAATCCTTAAGTTATAAACTGAGAGGAGAATTATTTTTTTTTAACCAAGAAAAGCCACATGGATGCATCTTTGAAATGCCCTGGTTGAACTCAGAGATTTCACTTATGACGTATTCAGTTACCTCTGACAGTATAACAGAATAACAGAGTTGGAAGGGACCCTGAAGGTCTTCTAGTCCAGCCCTCTGCTCAAGCAGGAGACTTGATACCATTTCAGACAAGTGGCTGTCTAGTCCCTTCTTAAAAGCCTCCAGTGATGGAGTATACACAACCTCTGGAGGGAAGCTGTTCTACTAGTTAATAGTCCTCACTGTTAGGAAGTTTCTCCTTAATTCTAGGTTGCTTCTCTCCTTGATTAGTTTCCGTCCTTTGCTTCTTGTCCTGCCTTCAGGCGCTTTGGAGAATAGGTTGACCCCCTCTTTTTTGTGGCAGTCCCTTAGATATTGGAAGACTGCTAAACTGTCACCCCTAGTCCTTCTCTTTATATCTAGACATATCCAATTCCTGCAACCGTTTTTCACGTATTTTAGCCTCTAGTCCCCTAATCGTCTTTGTTGCTCTTCTCTGCATTCTTTCCAGTCTCAACATCTTTTCTGCATCATGGTGACCAAAACTGGATGCAGTATTCCAAGTATGGTCTTACCAAGGCCTCATACTGCGGTAGGTACTAAACACTTCATGTGATCTTGATTCTATCCCTCTCTTACTGCAGCCTAGGATTGCATTGGCTATTTTGGTGGCTGCAGCATTCTGGGAGTTGAAGTCCACCCTTTCTTAAAGTTGCTGAGGTTGAGAAACTCTGCTCCATTGACCACCTAATGGGGTTCTCGAACGCTTTGAATGGCTGAATAGACACCACAGGGCTGCATTGCCCAAAAGGAGTCCCTCAAAGGGGTCCCAGTTTGGGGAAGCCGCTGCATAAGGTGCTTTTTCACCAGTGTTACAATCCTCTTCATCAACGAAAGACTTGGAAGTTCGCAAACATTCATCTCACTTCCTTGTTCTGATACAGAATCTCGAGAAGGACTTCAGGAGAAAAACGAAGTCTTGAGCCTTCGAGTGGTGGGATCAGTTCTCTCTTTTGCCCAGATCTTTCTCCATTTTCTTTACCCAGGACAGCCTCTAAACCTGACCGGCTCTTGGATCACTTCCTCTTTGTTGTCCGAAGGAAGGCCAATGAAGATATTTTGTCACCCAAAACCTCTCCCAGCACCTGCATTTCTCTTTTTTGCTGCTCTACTTCTGTTTTCTCAGCCACTTGCATGCTTTCCATGCGCTTTTCTGTTCCCTTGTCAGAAGGCACCGTGACGCTCCAGATTTTCATACATTTGCAAAGAATTTGAGTTTAAGGCAGCTCTCCCCAATCTGGAGCCCAAAAGCCACACTGGCTGGGGATGATGGGAGTCAGTCTGGAGAAACAAGGGGTAGGAGGCTGATCTTAAGAAAGGAAAACCAAGTCTCACTGCATCTGTTCTGTCCTTGGCTGTGCCTTCCAGTTACCAGCTAGCTGGTTCAGAATTAAAACACAAGAAGGAATTTGATTTCTGCCATTATAAATTTTTCATAAGAGTCGCAGGGAAGAAGCTCTGCATTAGGTCAGTAAGTTGCAGAACTGCACTTTTCTATACTGGTTGCTCAACCCTGATACAGAAGCCGGGCTGCCCAACCTCATCATGGCACTGCGAGCGTCATTTCGCAGTACTACGCATGCCCCCGTGTCCGCTCTCAAAGAGCATGCGCGATCGGCTATATGGCGCACCAAAGACATTTAAAGAAACACGGTGAGGCGTGGCTATGCTAATCCGACGCCGGGTGGGCGTGGACAGAGCGAGGCCTGATGCGCTTGTCCTGCCTGGAATGGGAGGGTTGACTTCTCGGGTATCCTTCGAAAAGGAAAGAGAAGGCCAGCATAACCAGACTCAAGCCATTTAAACCCAGCTTCCTCCCGCTCGCGAGCCAGCGCCGATCTTACGTGAAGAGAAAGAGAAAGGTGGGGCGCCCCGCCCCCTACCTTGCACGGACCAATCAGCGAATGGCTTTTCTGAGGGGAGGGCCGTTCTCGTAACCTTCGACCAATCAGAACCGGCTTTCCCGCCGGAGGGGGCGTTGTGGGCGGCCAATGGCAACGCACCGCCCCTCGAGGAGGCTAGCGCAGCGCCCGCTTTCTTCCTCTCTCGGCTCTCCTCCTTTCGCCGCCCTATTTTCCTCCCCCGCTCCTCTCCCTCCGCCCAGCCAATCAGGAGGCTCCGCCCGGAGAGGCTCGCGCTGGGGCGCATGCGCCACAGCCCTTCCTGCCCTTACTCCCCCTCCCCACTTCCCTTTTCTTCGTCAGTCGGGCGCGTCCCCGGCGCTCGTGGAGCCGCTTCCCGTCTCAGTCCGGCCGCTGCCCGAGCCGGGGCGCCGCGGCAAGGGACCCCCCCTCAGCCGCCCGCGCTCCCTCAGCCCGCTCGCGGGGCCCGGCGGGGGCGCCGCCGCCGCCTCCTGCCCCCCTCCCCATGGCGGCCCCGCTGAAAAAGGGCCCCGGGGGCCTCATCGGCCTCATGAAGGACGCCTTCCAGCCGCACCACCACCACCTCGGCCCGCACCAGCCCAGCACCGTGGACAAGAAGATGGTTGAGAAGTGCTGGAAGCTGATGGACAAGGTGAGGGAGGGGCGGTGGAGGCAGCCCGGGGGCCCCCGCCCTTCGCCCCCCCCCTCCAGGCTCGGGCCCTGGCAGGGGGTGGTCCCGGAAAGGCTGCCAGGCGTGGCGGGGGGCGAGGGCAGCGTCCGGGGGTGGAGGGGGGGCAAGCAACCGAAGGACTGTCCTTCATCTCCCCCCGGGGGGGGATGGTGGGAATTCTTGCAAGGGAAGCAACGTCGTGTGTAGGGTGTTGGGTACAGTCCTGGAGCTTCACTGGGTTTTCAGAGACTCCTGTCAATTGTGGAGGTAGGGAAGGCATTGAATAATAATAATAGTAAAATCAATTGCAAAAGGCAGCTTTGCTTGGAGCAGCTTACCACTTGCCTCCATACCTTTAATATCATCAAACGACAATATCTGCCAATATTGGGAAGGACTCAGGTGGATAAAAGGGCCAAATCCAACCTGAACATCTGGCTGACTGTGAGACCGACTGTCCCTATCTGTCAATTGCAAAATGGCAGCTTTGCTTGGAACAGCTGACATCCTGTGAGATACCTTTAGCACCAACCAACGACAATATCTGCCTGTCCTGGGTCCTTGGGAAGGACTCATAAGTGGATAAATACGCCAAATCCAACCTGAACATCTGGCTGACTGTGCGACTGGCTGTCATAATAAGCAAAAGACAGCAGAGATAGTACCAATAGTGATAGGTGCCTTGGGTGCAATCCCAAAACATCTGGCGCACCACTTGCACATCATCGGTGGCATTGACACACTTGTGATCAGTCCATTGCAAAAGGCAGCTTGACTTGGAACAACTGACCTTCTGCACTGCACCATCAAGCAACAGCATCTACCTGTCTCAGGTCCTTGGTAAAGACTTGATAGGTAGACAAAAATGCCAAATCCAGTCTAAACATCTGGCTGATTGTGCAACCAATCATAATAATAAAAAACCTACTGGAAGGGATATGAGATCCCATCTGTGCCTGCAAAGGTCAGGTCTGCAGATTAGGTGGTAAGAAATGGAGATGTGGGGTTGGGAGCTCTGAACACTTTCTGAGATCTCCCGAGAATCCCACAGTTCAACCTTGAGCCATGGCTATTCTGTTAGAAATGGAGTTATTGGGTTGAGTCTGCAGGAGAAAGTACAGTACAGTAGTAGGAAAAACAGTAAGTTAGATAGGGTGGATGGCTGGAATGTCATAATGTTAGGGTTTCAATATGAACCTAAGCTCAAGTCCTCCTGGTAGTGAGATTGATACAAAACTGCAGGCTGCATTGGTTATTTTGCAACTGCTGCTAATCGCAAATGGGTTCCTGTCCTGAGGAGCTGATCTTAATTTAGAAGGCGAGGGAAGGAAGTGAGGAAGAGCAAAAGGAACATGAAATCAGTGCAGGCAAAAGCAGTTACATTCTGCTTTATTCTTTGGCTGAATGTGAATATCCCGAGGAGAAGGCTGCTGTTTTATCTGGAAAGAAGGAAATAGTTGTAGGTTGGGTTCTGGGAAGTTGGGTTATTAGGGAACTGGAAATTTGGCTTCAGATCAAACTTTAGATGCCATGAAAGGTTTGATAAGCATCTGCATTAAAGGGCTTGGACTAATGATGTAGCCTGGAAATTTATTTCTTTATCATATTTATAAACCGCCCTAATCAAATAGGAGTTCCCACATGGAATTTGCCAATACTTTTTCACTTGTATTGAAATTGCAGATTGTTAAGGTAATTTTTTTTCAACTGTAAGTTTTAAAAGCCAGGGACTTTCTTAGGATGGCACAATATTATTGAGGAGAATGCAAACTTCAATGTTTATGGATATGGTTTCTACACATCTATTTCTGTATATTGTTATACAGTTTTTAAACATATGCAATTGGTCTTGCTAGTGGATCAAGCTGCTCCTGGTGGAGATTCTGCTCATGCCTCTGAAGTTGCTCACTTGCTGGATGGCATGGGAGGAAAAAATCAGTTGTTCTTCTCTATAGCCAGCTACTCTATATATTTTAGCTAGATAACATGGATGGAACTTTTTTTTTCTATTTTATGTTGTTTGGTTCTGTTATATGCAACTCGTAGGCATATAATAGTCTAATGCATAATCATGTTTTGGACAGTAATACTGTATATTGTTGGCTCATTCATTAGCCTAGACTGTTATTTCAGTATTAAAGCTGTAGATAATATACTAAAGTAGCAGTTGAAATGAGAATTCTAAAAATAACAAGAGGCCACCTAAATATTTTATTTGAGGGATTGGGTCCAGAAAAATTAGAAAATTTCTAAGGATAGAAGATGTAATCATCACGTTATAGGCTAAAGAATGATTTCTGAATTTGAACAGAACATTGGCAAGCTTTTAGGTCAATGTTTTAAGTATCATTACAACATCATGCTGGATAGTTTGGTTTTTAAAAATTGAGTGGAAGTTGAGGGGCCAACAGCAAAATGGCATGCTGGTTAAAATGTGCTTTTTTAAAAAATCTAATGGAGTGCATTTAAAAATAAAACAATCAAGGACCTAATGAGCAAATAATTCGCTAGTGTAGTAGCTAATAACCTATTTCGTATGCATGAATTGATGCAAGAATGTTGCAGCTAAACTAGAAATGAGAGGTGAAGTATGGTTAGGTCAATCAGACTGTTGAAGGGAGCTCACCAGTTCATGTGATTTGCAATAAAATTGTTTTTGCCAAGTTTCCTCTTTTTCCTTTCTTTAAAATATTGAGCAACAACTTAAAAGTTTATGCTTTGCTCCTCGCCTCCCTGTAGATAAGATAGTAATCTCTTTTCAAACTGGGAGAGTTTTTGAGACGGTGCACTTTTCACAAAATCACACAATGTCAGTGCAAAATGTCAGTGCAAAAAGGCTGCTAGCTATCAGCATCTTTTTGCACAGCCAGGAGTCAAATGATGTTCTGGGTGCCATGATGTCATTAATAAATGTGTAATTCATATAATGATATTATCCTGTCTTGTACTAGGTCCCTACACAATGTGAATGCAGCCCAACCAAACCATCATCTTCCCTTCCTCTAGCTTTATTTTGAATGACTAAGGATCTCTTTTAATTTTATCCCAATGATTATGATAGAAATCTTGATGTGATCGGAAAATACTTGCCTATAATATGATTATTACTATGACATTAATACTTGGTGAAGAGCCTCTTGTTTTTTGCGGTTAAAGGAGTTGTCTGTTAAAACCGAGGAAGGAGAATGAATATAGCATATGTGCCAGTCTTTTTCAACCTTGGCAACTTTTAAGATCTGCGGACTTCAACTCCCAGAATTCCTCAGCCAGCACAGCTCTGGGAGTTGAAGTCTCCAACATTGAGAAACACTGGTATGTGCTAATAATTTAGCCACCTAGAGTCACTTCTTGGGGGATGGGTGGCCATATAAATATGACTAATAAAATATTTCATTTTCATTTTCAAATCAAAATAAAAGTGTCTCTATTAAATCTTAAACTAGAGATGCTTGGTTAATCTAGTGCAAATAACTAAGAGAAACTATGGATAGTGAATAATGCATTAAATTAGTACACTACTATAAATCATTCATAGAGATGGAATATAAACTCTAATACCCTTATTTTGGATGTGGCACAATTCCATATAGGAATGTTGTTCAATAACGGTTTTCAATTGAAATTAAATTTGGGAATGAATTATTTATTTTAGTGATCAAGACTGGAATGATGTATCAACAATCAAACATCTTAACTATATAGCTGTTCTAATATTTGAAATAACTTTGATATTCTTCTTTAAAGTCTTACTGCTGCACATCTGTAACTATACAGCATTTATACTCGGCTTCCATTTAATCATACGGTTTTGGGTTAGGAATCATTAGGATTGCTGAAGTTCTGTGACAAAAGTGTACTTTAATATAGTATACTAAAATAACTATTCTCATTAGTTCCTGGGAATGATACTGTACAGCTTTAAGAGAAAGTTGGATTTTATATTCTGTCCTTTGAAAGTAATTAATTGAACTAAATGTTAACCAGTACTAATGAAATATAATATGCCCTTACTTTTCTGACCTGTTAACTTTTCACAGGAGATGGTTATTTTTGGAATTGGTTTCCTAGAAGTCATGAGAATGCATGTATGATGTATATAGTAATTAGATTTATGGCGTAGATAGTAGTCTGTGCCATTTTCCATTTCCCATTATTTCTGATGCAGAAACATGATTTTTCTGTGCTTTTGATTTCCTGGATAATGCTGCCGTCAGTGAATCATCTTCACTTTGAGCTATTCAGAACATAAAATGGCTTTACAAAAAATAAAATGCATTTTTGTTCTATACTTTAGAACATGTTTTCATGGTTTTAAAGGCTTTTTAATGAAAGTATGATCAAACTCAAGCTGAAGAATAATCCATAGTTATTTTGATTCCATTGTGCCCTTTCTTTGTTAGCCTATTTAGGGAAAATTTATGTAATAGTATCTTGGAGCACTTGGTCCTTTATATTTTGACTCTAGATTTTTAAACTATATACAAGTTGTTATTCTGCAATTTATAACAAATCCAGAGTCACATTGGATTGCATGGAGTTGTGCAGTGGCTTACAGTTATCTGAATTTTAGTCATAATGTGCATATTTTTAAAAAGAAAAATGCAGACCACACCTTTGGTTGATGGCCTTATTATTTGAGAATCTTCCCGGCAGATTATTCTTTTAGTTAGGGAAGGTGGCTGGAGAATTCTGAAGTCTACACTTCTAAAAACTGCTATAGTTGAGAAACGCTGTTTTACATATCTCCTAAGAAAGAATTTGTAGAATTAGAACAGAATAATGTGATATTTTGGATGCGTTATATACCCTTGCTTGTACTAAACAGAACATCATGAGCTTACTGGTCAGCTAAAGTTATAGCTGATAAAAATAACTGATTAGCTGTTTCACAGCCCATTTCCTTTTTGATAGTTTAGGTGCCAAGTGCTATCTGCGCTTTAAGATTATTCTCATAAGCCTTCTAATATTTGCAATTTAGCAGTAGTCTACATACAGTAGCTCCTTCTTCCCCTGTCCCAGACTTAGTACATTGTGTCAAATAGCAAAATGTGGTCTCTTGCAGTAAATAAATTTTTTTAATCAGGTCTTTTTTTTAACTTCTTGAGATAGAAAAGTTTCAATATTACATATCAAAGAACGGTTTGCCCTAAGATGAGCTTTGCAGAATATTCCATGATCACACGCCCTCTGCTCATCTGCAGTCCTTGGCTCTTCCTTCATCTCCTGTTTCAAGTGTTGCTGTATAAGCTGTTGAAGTTTGTAGAGTTATAACAATGCCAAATGTAGGCTAGCAGATATTTGGGCAAGTGTAACCCGTAACCTCTTCCTCCTTCTCTAAGCTCAAATGATTCTGGGCCATGTCTGTCACCCACCAAATTGCTCCACTGATAATTTGGTTAGAAATCCAACTTTGCTAAGACACTATGCTTGAGTGGACATAGAAAGTCAAGAAGCTAGTAAATTTCTCTTAAGTGAAAACTTTTTCTTGTGTCACTATTTTGGTGCTTTGTGCACACTGAAAAAACTGGTGATGGAATAGGAATAACTTTGACAACTTTTAAATGGCTTCTTAGTCTTTGTGGGAAAGGTTTCTGTGGTAGCAGGTAGGCTACCTCAGGTTTTGAGATTAGTGTGTGGTGTGGTCTGAACTGAACTTTTGTAGGTTTAAAATTTGTGAATCAGAGTCTATGGCTTATAGGTTCAACCTCTGAATCCTCACGTTTTTGAGAATTCATTAAAGTATGCTGTTATTGTGAGAATGCATTCTTAAATTTCAAAATGGTGCTGACCCTACGGAAGGTATTTTTACATTTGATTGTGTTTGCTTTTACACTTCTTAGGTTGTGCGTTTATGTCAGAACCCCAAGCTGGCACTCAAGAACAGTCCTCCCTACATTCTAGACCTGCTTCCCGACACCTACCAGCACCTGCGAACTGTCCTGTCCTGCTACGAGGGAAAGATGGAGACTCTGGGAGAAAACGAATACTTCCGGGTGTTCATGGAAAACCTGATGAAGAAGACAAAACAAACCATCAGCCTCTTTAAAGAAGGAAAAGAAAGAATGTATGAAGAGAATTCCCAGCCTAGGTAATGCTGGCCTGTGCTGGAATTTATCTGTGGTATTCTAGAATCTAGAGCACGCCTGGATCTGGGGAAGTCCTCTTGCTTCTTTCAAAATTCCTTGTTTCAGTGTGCTTTCTCTTCATGTAGACTTTTGGTTTTCCCCTGAATTTTATGCTTCTCTGGCAGTTCATCAATATGAGTTGGAGGTGCTGCTCTGCTCGTCCACTTTCACTGAAATCTCCATGTCCATGCTTTAACTTGAAGTCACCTACCTCTTGAACGTGCTGGGATTTGCAAGATAGATTTATGTGCAAAAATGAGTTTGGCTGATTAAAAAAAAGCATTTTACTAATGCTGTGTAAAAGTTGTACAGAAATGCTAATGTGAGGTCCTTGATCCTCTCTGATCTTGGCTGTTTTCTTGCAGATGTTTCATTACCCAAACTGGGTAATGTCATCAGTGCTGTTTTCATCAGAAAACAAATGAGGAGCACTAAGGACTCCTCATTTCAACCCTGAGCTGCAAATATTCTCCTTTATCGAAATGCTGATGTGCCCATGTAGTGCCCAGTGAAAATAGGATGGTCCAAATAGAGTGTCAACCAATACAATTAAATCACATTAAGCAAGTACAGACAATGAATGTCTATGGAGGTTTTCAGTCATCCAGGTTATGGTTGTCCCAAAGGTGCTTTTTCAAAAGGCAACTTGTTTTGCTTGAAAATGTTTCACATCTCATGCAAGAACCTTCTTCAGTTCCATTCAGCGCCACCATTCAGTCAGAAGAAGCGTCTTGGATGAGAAGTGACATGTCTTCAAGCAAAAACAACGCAAGTCCAGTTGCATTTTGAAAAAGCATCTTTGGGTATAGACCAGTGATGGCGAACCTTTTAGAGACCGAGTGCCCAAATGGCAACCCAAAACCCACTTATGTATCATCGGGTGCTGGGTGGGTGTGGCTGTGGTGGTAACGGCAGACTGGGTGGGACTAAAAAGTTCAATCAATTCCAACTTTGCGAAATCTTTTTTTCCCCGCGAGAAGTTGAAATTGATTGAACCTCTTTTTTTTTTTTTTTTGCACACAGCGGCGGAGGCCTAAAGCAAAAAGGTTTTATAAAACCCAGCTGAAGGCCTAGGACTGGGGCGACGGTGCGCGTGCCCACAGAGAGGGCTCTGCGTACCACCACAGATATAGACAATGAAGTGAGGTCGGAGAAGAATGTATGTTTTAATTTTAGGCTAAAACTTGCTCTATTGTTTTCGCGAGGTAACTTGGAGACGCATTCAGTATCCAGAAGCTTTCCATCTATTTATCTTTATAAGTCACCTTTCTCTGTAGTCTCCTCAGAGAGAGCGCTATTAAAGAAACGCAGGCCTCTGCCTGTTTTTACTTTGCAGGAGGAACAGGCAATTTCCAGGCTGCTTTGAAGAGTTGGCAGGTGGCTGTTTTCATCCATGATGATCACAGTTTTTAAATTAGGGATTAAGCTTCAAGATGACAATAGGAGTTTTGAGATGGAGGAGCTGCCTCTGAGTGTGGATTGATGCTGGAAGACACATGGGAAAAGATTGTAGGCCAGGCTGTGTTCACAAAAACCATCTCTTAATATTGATGTAGAATCCGCTGTCTCCCAGTTCCGAATAGAGTGCTGAGGCAATTTTCTATCGAATAATATTTTATAAATTGAGCATCTTTGAAACTCTGTTCGCAGCAGTTTAAACAAGCCTGGGGCTTCATTGTTACCACAGCACAAGCAATATTTTCCACTTCTGCGTGGCCTACCTTTAGAATTAAGAAAGCATCACGCCTTGTGGTTAGAGCCATAAATAGAGCTGGGTTCTCTCCTCTGTTCTTTGAGCTTAGTTTCACTTTAGGCCAGTAGCACTTTCTGCTACATGACGTACAAAAGCTGATGTCAGGAAATTGCTGGGAAGGTGGGCTAGTTTATGTGGAGAGTTTGGTGTCTTCAACGCCTTGGAAAGCTGTCAAATGGCATTTTCGTGTGTGTGTATTATATATATAATATATATATTATATTATATAAAATATAATATATATAAAATCATTATTTGGAAGCCATAGTTAGTCTTTTTTGTGGTATGTAAGTCAGTTATTATCTGGGTAAGATGCCAGGAATTCAATAAAGCATTGGTTACCTTGAACAGTGGCAGTGAACAGTACAGATTAAGTAGTTATGGTTAGGGGGGAAGAGACCCTTGGATCATTATTATGAGTCATTTACTGTGTACATTTGCAACTGGAATGGGATTTGTTCCTAAGACTTCAGCCTTCCCTGTTGCTCTCAAGGATGAGAGGCAAGAGATCAGAGAAAAATATCTTGTTGGTACATTGCTAGTAGTAAAGATAGATCAGGGCTTGTTTTTAACAGCCAGTCTTATCCTCAGAGAGGTCTGCAGGGGATTTGCCTGAATCCAAATCGCCTAGAGGTTACTACTTGATTTTGAACATGGGTCATAAAAATGAATGCCTCAGTCATTGCTCGGAGGTCAAGGTTTCAGATGTTGATGATATTATTTCACTGTAACATGGAGGATGGTATATTAAAAGAATGTCCAGTTCTAAAAAAAATGGTTTCCCAGGATTTGTAAATCTCCTCCCCCCCTCTTTTTAATGAAAACTTAATTTGACATAGTAAGGGGTGATGAGCATTTAAAGCCAGTAGCCAATGTATTGAGTCCTTGTCTCGTCCTGTCGTGAGACTGGGGGCTTGGCTGTCTTGGCAAGATGTCATGCTTGTCTTTAGCTGTAGGAACAAATCCATACAGAAAAACGCTGCAGATATACCAAAGTGTCTTTATATGTATGAAATGTGTGCAGCTCCATGTAGGAAGGAAGCTGATCTTATTCAGGCTTCTTTTTAAAAAAGCAGTTTTGAAATATGCCTGGCTATCACCACCATTCGGAAGCAAATTCGCCACTAATCATTTTGTTTCTTAATGTGAGGAGCTGGATCAGAAAAACACAATAAGGCATTGTTGAGGCAGCCTATCTGAATCTGCTGCTTGCTGCTGCAAAAAAAAATTGCCTGTCCCTTCCTTCAAATTAACCAGGCACTTCAGAATGTAGGAAACTTGTACAACCCACTTCTGCATTTCAATTAGCGCTTCTTAGAGACTAAGTTCAAAAGCTGCCCATAGAAAAATAAGACGTTTTACTTGCCAGATTGCCACATAGGAACGTGAACTGTTTGCTGTCTAAAGAGATCTACTGGAATGAAGAAAATATATTTCAGTGTTGGTCTGTAGTACTCAAGAGAGAAATGGGCAGACACCTCCTGTGTCCATTCTGCAGTCTCGGCTTTTCTTTTAAAATTGCTTGCAAAGAGTTTAAACATGGTCATGAATAAAAAGATGGGGGGAGCATTTATTAATGATCCATCAGCCTTTCCCAAACTGGTAGCTTCCTGATGAGCTCAAGCTAACCGTGGCTATTGGTTGTGTGGTCTGGAGGACACCAAGTTGGGAGGTCAGGAAATGGAAGTGCTGTGTTAGGTACCAAAGTGGAATGGAGAATTAGAAACAAATATATTGTTGGCTTTTAATGTTAAAGAAAGTACCATGGTTAAGCTTTTATTTTTATCTTGATTCATGTGCCTGCTCTGAATTTTATGCCAATGCATTGGGGAATTAGTTCATGAAATCAGAGTAATGCTGGATAGTTCTTTATATAGGCACTTGATGATGACATACTTGCATTTGAGATGTATACGTTCTGCTTAGTTTTCCATACTTCTCTAGAAAGCAATATACTGTATGCTGCTAATTGGAGCAAGGTAAAACTTCAAATTGCGTGTTGAAAAGCCAAATTGAAAGTAGTTGTGTGTTTATTTTTTTACAAAGTTGATTACTATGGGAAACAGACTCTGAAGGTGAGAGCGACGACGAAGGAGCCCACCTCCTCTCACACTCAGACCATGACAGCAGGAAGTGTCTAAATGTCATCGTATGATTTTTAAATAGGACTACTCAGCACTCACGAGGGGTGAATTCACAACAGCAGGATAGTTGTAGCTTTCATGCAATATTCTGTTATTGGAAGGCCATTCACCAATTTAACTATCTTGGTGGAATCTGTTAGTTGGATCAGAGATGAAAAAGCACATGGCTCACAGGTGGCGGCAACATTCGGGAGAGGCCTGAGTTTTTAAGAAATGCATTGTCTCCATATTGGATGCATTGTGAAAGCCAACCTGAAGGACTTATGGTGGGGCAAAGTTCCAAAGTTAAAGTTTCAGTAAACGTTTATGGTAAAATTACAAGCTCCAACTAGTTACTTTCCACGCACTCCTCATATTTATGGCTACTTCATTCCACTTACCAAATGTGGCTGAAACATTACTGTCCTTCCTTTCAAAGTAAAAAGGGAACTGTTGGCAGTGTTGAATCCTTTTGAGGCAAAAAAAAAATGTTCTCCAGATGTAGAGACAACTGAGCTGCTGAAACATATTGTTTACTTTCCTCTACTGGCACTGATTAGTCCAGTGGTCCCCAACCTTTTGGGCACCAGGGACTGGTTCCGTGGAAAACAATTGTTCCGTGGACCAGATGGGGGAGTAGTTTCATGTGCTACCTAGATCCCACGCATGCGCAGATGAAGCTTCGCTCGCTTCTTCCGCCTGGTTCCTGTTGGGCCGCAGACCGGTACCGGTCCACAGACCAAGGTTTGAGGACGATCAGACAACTTTCTAATTTGTCAAGAAAAGCCCACTAAATGAATTCTTCCAACACTTTTTCTCATGAGGTCCAGTGCCCATATAACCTAATTTTCCTGCATAGCTAACTGCCTACTGGAGACAGGCAGTTAAGATTATTTTATCTGACTCAAGTTGCTGTTGCAGCAAGCAAGCACAGGATGCTGAGATAACATCACAAGCTGGCATTGCATGCACAATTATTGAGTCTTTTCCAGATGTAGCAACTCCTAGCTTGAGATGGAAGAATTCAGCCAGATGCCTTCCATTGTGGTGGCCGTTGCCCTCTCTACGTGTGGTAGGATAACCCTGGGCTGAATAGAAACCTCCCCGAGAGGCTGGTGGCTTTGCTCTCTCACTTTCTCTGAGTGATAGAAAGGATAGGAGGAAGTAAAGCTAGGATGTTTGTCTCATCTCCCCGGCCCAGAGACACACACGCTGCTTTCCTTCACAAACTTCTAAACTATTTGAAAATGCTGTCATTAAATGTTTCCATTTGGTTAGACTCAATGAAGTCAAGGAAAATTTCAGCATTGAGAGGAAGACCGAGCTGGAGAATAAGGAGGGAGACTCTGAATATCCATTGCTTCTTTAGCAATATCAATATGCCTACTCTGTCAAATTGTATTGAGATACGGTTTCTAAAAGATTGGATTTGGACATTTGGCAGACCTGTGTTCTTTCACTTTTCAGAAGGAAACTGTAAATAAGGTTCTAACATTATGGACTAAAAAAATCACACCATACTTTGTCACCCCTGAGATGCATAACTCATATTCTGCTATACATACATGCAGATTTTCTAATCAGCTTCCGTCAATCTGCAAAATTGTGTTCTGGACCCCAACCAGCCAGGACCCCAAACAAGCCAGGAAGAAGGCACCCATTTGCATTGATCTTTCAGACCCTTGTTTACTTTATTGGCATGAAGTCAAATGTGCACCCTGCCCCTGATTGGAGAGACTTGGCTTTTCCTTATAAACAACTTGCATCTTTATCAGTCTGTGAATTGAACCTTTTCGCCCCTGAGCCAGCACATCTGGCTTCCCTGAGGAAAAAAAAACCTGGTGTGTGTTTAAAGCTAATAACAGAGCAGATTAGTAGAAATAACATGCATTACCTTTCTGCGGGGGTAGCAGTCTTGTTTCCTCTCATCCATCTTGAGTTTGGACATTTTGAATAAACAGTGATTGCAGAATCAGATTTGCTTACACAAGCTGTCCCCAGGTACATACTCCGTTTTCCTCAGCAAACGTAAACAAGGAAGCATCCTTGTTATTTTTAGACAGGATATTTATATGTTTCAGAGATCTCTCATTCTTTTAAGCCCATTCATAACATTTGTATTTATTAAGAACTCAAAACACTTCTGTTGTTTTGCTTTGTTTTGTTTATCCAATCCAACTTGTAACCTGCCTTTTGAAACAGGCAATCATTTTGTCACAACACCATTTGTTTACTTACGTTAGCAGTTTGATTTTGCAAAGAATTTAATTGTAAGATAGTGTAAGTACACACATATTTTTAGGGCTAAGGTTGAAATAGTAACGGCATGTTTAATGTTAGTTTGAAAATTGCTCATGCTCTCTGCTAGAGCTGCTTTTAAATTGGCCGACTATATTTGCTCTTTTCTTAAGGAAGTATATAATACATCTAGCAAATTCCTTAGGGAATATTGTAGAAGATCACGAACCTTAATTGGTGCCATAAAATATCAATGGTATGCCACATAGCTTTAGTCTGCAATGTATGGTAGCTGCTACATATTTTTTTAAAATGTTATACCCAAAAGAGAGAAATTCTGTGAAGTGTTTACAGGCTGTATCAATGCAGATTATCATGCATGTCTTCCCTTCCTTAATTTAGCTTCTGCTAGTCATATGAGTGGAATTAGCAGTATATGGTAGTAATTGCTGAGAGATTTCCTGGTGTTTTTCTACTTGAAGTTGCCTTGTATTCCAGAGAGTTAGGATATCTAGCGCCCCCCCTAATTTGAAAAACTTGCTTAACCTGGATTTGTAATGGTTGTCTTGATGTATAATTTCAGGAAAAGTGATGCAAAGCAGACATGTTTTCTGCAGAGGCATCAACAGAGATTGAGGGCAGCTTTTCTGCTGAACATACCGTTAATGGACTAAAAACTGTTCTTTAGAAGAACTTCTGGGAAGTTCTGGAGGAGCTAGTTGGATGTGTGAAAGGATGGTATTGAAGATTTATGGGTGCAAAGAAGGATAGAACGGGTTGACATCCCAGTGACTTCTGCAAGACAAGCTGTTATCATGGTAGAATGCTTTTTATCCAGCAAACAGGAAGCCGGAAAAGAACAGCCTGCTTCAGGTCAGAGGCAAAGGCAGCAGAAAGCTGAACTCAGGAAAACAAGGCCCTGTTAAAGGCTGCAGTGGGGCTGAGTGCTTGTTTGACCTCTTGACTTTTTGCAAAATATCTGGAGCCAAACAGTAATGAAGAACTGAAGAGGACAGCCAAGCAGAGAGAAGTGAAAAACAGAACATCCTTTGCTTTGATGTGGTGTTAATTTTTAATTCTGTCGTCTTCAGGAGTTGGTGCACAAAGTCTCAACTCTACCTCACCACTCTGGCCCAGAGTCAAGACTTGTATCATCTCACCAGCCGCCCTGGCATCATATTTTTAGACTGTGCAGAGTGATTGACTACCTAGAAGCATTAGCTTCCCTCACTTCTTTCCGAGCTCTCTATCTATCGTGTGACTCTCACAGGCGTATTTGGTTCTCTGGGAGGTCCTCCCTGAGAAAGTATATTAATTAGAAAGCGAGAATGGTGCCAGAACAGTGGTTGATAAGGAAAATAATAATCCGGAATAAACACTCTCACAGCTAACGGCCTGAAAATTAAAACAGAGGAATCCCGTCACAGCTACAGCCTACTCAACAGATAAAAAGGCTCCCTGTTACTGCTGCTCTTGTGTAAATGTCTGCTCCTTCTGGGCATAAGTCTAGCAAGTTCCTGACATATCACTGGTGCTTCATAAAGGCCTGTAAGTAGAACACACATCACGCATAATGTGTGCTGCCTAGTGCTCCTTCCAGAGGCTTTTCCCATTTGACACTTAAAAAATAATTTTGCATAAATAAAATGGTCAAACCCAACGTGGTCATGATTTTCCAAACAGTACTTGATGCTTGTTCCTTCCTTTTTTTCTGGAACAAAAGACGCCATATCAGTCAGACTCTCGTTAATTAATCCAGGGATAATATTGCTTTAAGGCGAGCAAATAACGTGAGGAGGCTAGCAGAAGAGATCACCCTTGGTCAAAGAAAGGGAGGGGCTTTAGGAATCTGTAGGTTTGAGGGTCCTACCCTGAATTTCCATGTGTGTGAGTAAAATAAGTTGTGTATGGTGTTAACTTCCCTTTTATTCCTTGTGGATTTAAAAGCACCCTAAGTAGCTGCTCCCACTTCTTGACTTTAACTTAAAGCCCAAGAGCAGTAAGAGTGAAAGAAGAATCTTATCCTTTGAATTTGGTTGTCAACTGGCACTGTTGATTAGACCAGCCTCCCTCTTGCTGGCTGTTGTGGCTGATAATTTTCTTACGGAAGCAGTCCCCTTTGTACCCTTAAATCTGCCCTTTTCTTTGTTGAGAAACTTGAGAGTGCATATGCAGAAGGTGACTGCTCTTGTGCACTCAATTATCCAAGCCTTAATTTGCTTAATAACGTATACTTAAATTATGATTGGAATTATTTTAAATGAAATGTGGTCTGGGCAGATGGTTACTATATAACACTGATTGAAGGACTTGTAACTCCTAGCTGGGTCTTCATTTTTCTGCCATACTTTCAAAGCATGTTAGCAGTCTTTCTATTGCACCCTCTGGGTAAGCAAATAAGACACCTGAAAAGATAAAAGTACTGTAAAGCTAAATTTCCAGACTGCTGCGAATTAGAATCCATTGCCATTGGCCTCAATGTTAGGAAAATCAATTTGGAATGTGACTTGAAAAATCAAAGTTCCGGTTTCTCCTCCCATTTTCTGGGTGCTTCTTTCCCATTTCACAGCAGAATAATTTGTTTATTTAATTTATGTGCCACTCGTCTCACTATCCAGAGTAACTCTGGGGGCTCACAGTTACAAAGATGTGTTTTTCTGTCCTTGCAGGCGCAACCTGACCAAATTGTCTCTGATCTTCAGCCACATGCTGGCAGAACTGAAAGGCATATTTCCAAACGGACTCTTCCAAGGAGACACTTTCCGAATCACTAAAGCAGACGCAGCAGAGTTTTGGAGAAAAGCCTTCGAGGAGAAGTAAGTACAATTCTCAAAATAAGCTTCTAGGCCTCCGGCAGTTCTCTAGGCAACTCATAACTGGAGTGGTTTGTGTCTTGTGGTTTTGCCACATCCAACATACGTGAGATGGAATCCCAAAGCTACTAGACCAGCGGTTCTCAACCTATGGGTCGTGACTCCATTTGGGGTCGATCGACCATTTCACGGGGGTCGCCAAGCAAGGCTGTCTGCCATTTTTTTCCCCTTTTCCGGCGGGTGCCTTACCTCCCTTGGGCTGGGCCAGCTGGTGGTCGGCCTGCTCTGTCTCTGCCGCTTGCCAGCTACGCCTCGCCGGCGCAGGGGGCGGAACCACGCATGCGCGGCGCTCCCAGGCAGGGAAAGTCCTCTACTTACGACCGGTTGGGTAGTCCTCTACTTACGACCGGTTTAGTCCTCGACTTACGACTGGTTTAGTCCTCGACTTACGACCGGTTGGGGGTCACGGCATTAAAAAGGTTGAGAACCACTGTACTAAACTATCAAGGCTGGGTGAAGCCATTCAAGTACTTCTTTGAAAATATTTGACTACAGCCCCCACCCTTAAAGGGTTAAAGTATCCCCCCCCAAACACATACACACTTACACAAAGTTTCATGATAATCTTCAGCCTTATCCTTTCCTTGATATATAAGGGTTGACTTTGGGGAGAAAAATTGTTCATGGCTGATTTGTTGAGGAATTGATGTTTCACTTGGCTTCAAGAGGCTAGACTTCCATAACTTTAGATGTTTATCTCTAGAGATTAATTGTGATCACATTCCAGATTCATGTTTTTCCCATATGAAATATGCACGACATATCTGAAAATTCAGACTTATGAAATATGTGCACTCATAACCTTGCCTGCAAGCTGTTGGTTTTCCTTCATTACTTCCTTCATTTAATATCTCAGTACAGTTACTTAGATGTCAGAGATCTTGTTTAGATGCAGTTATGTGACATTCCTTCATACTGCTTTTACGTCAGTAGCTGCTTTAACCAGTTATTGGACAAATTAAGGATTATAGCCGATGTTTTTTGCTTTCATTAATTGTACATTGTTTCTCTTAAAGCAATTCATTTTGGGAACAAATGTACCTGCATTTGTCAACTTCAGTTCTTGTGGTTGTGAATCTGTATGCGTGGACAGAGTGCCCATTAACTTGGATGGTTTTAAGACCAATTTATGGGGGACACCATAATGTCCAGTATCAGAAGTGATGCATGCTTGAATGTTTATAGCTAGGAAGCATGAGCGGGACAGAGCTGTTGAGCTTCTGTCTTGTTCAGGGACTTCCTAGAGCAGTGTTTCCCAACCATAGCCATTTTAAGATGTGTGGACTTCAACTCCCAGAAGACCTCAGCCAGCCACTCTCGTGGAGCGATAGAATCAATCCTGGCTGGCTGGGGTATTCTGGGAGTTGAAGTCCACACATCTTAATATGGCAAAGGTTGGGAAACACTGTCCTATATGAATCTGATTGGCTCCTCTAGGAAAGACAACCCTGGGTGGAAGGAAGTCTTTTGTTTGATTTAGCAGATATTTTAAGTCCTTATGATGCAAAGGAAACCGTCCCAATATGTTTTTATCCCACTGCTAGGACCATTGTCCCGTGGAAAACCTTCCGCCAAGCCCTACATGAAGTTCACCCTATCAGTTCCGGCCTGGAAGCCATGGCATTGAAATCAACCATTGACCTGACATGCAACGATTACATTTCAGTGTTTGAATTTGATATTTTTACCCGTCTGTTTCAGGTAAGTTTTTTTATTATTATTATTAAGCCATGATTTTTCCAAATACTGATGTTGGTTCACCATTGAAACAGCTTTCTCATTCTTCTATCAAAATTGCTGATCTTCTTCTCCCTGACTTGTACAGCTGCAACCTTCAGGTGTTCCTTCTCTCCATCTATTGCTTTCCTTGCTTCCCAAATCGCTCTGCCTTCTGGGTTAAGGAGGATTGATACCCTGGCATGAGGGGTAGCTTTGAAGAGATGTATGGCCATGCCCCGTTGGAATGCAGTTAAATTCTCTGCTGCTCTTTTAAATGTAACAGTTGAGATTGAACGTTGCTAAATTCACTGAGGGGGATGTGACTGCATGGGAAGTGGAATGAACTACAAATGGAAGCGCTATTTTCTTGTTAAAATAACTGCCTATCTTTTCACCCACCTCCCCAGCCCTGGTCTTCTTTGCTCCGAAATTGGAATAGCCTTGCGGTGACTCATCCTGGCTATATGGCATTCCTGACCTATGATGAGGTCAAAGCCCGGCTTCAGAAGTTCATTCACAAACCTGGAAGGTGAGTGCTTCAAAGCAGCCTTTCTAATGTCAAGTCATGTTCTGGTTAAGCATTTTCTATAAAAAATAGTTGATAGCAGTGATGTCCTAAATTTAAAGTACCATAAATTGCAGTTGTAGGCATATTAATTGTTAATTTGTTAATCAAATTTAGATACTGTCCATCTCACTGACTGATAGACTCTGGGTGTTTTACAAAATCATAAATTTCCTCCAAACGTAGACATTTCTCAGTACGGGATGCCCCTCTAGGATGATCAAGCCAACTTAGAGTATCCAAGAAGTACAGGACATCCTTGCCATGATCGTTAATGCCCATTGAAAGAAGCATGCAGATAATTATGATTGCCAGGATGGGGGAAAAGAGATTTTCTACTGACCTATTATTCAAAAAAGGCTTTATATGTAAGCAGTTCAAATTTAGCTACGTGTTCGTTCAGCTGTCAACGTATGTCCATTTTTTGGGTTGTTAGTTACATTTTTCGTCTGAGTTGTACCCGACTTGGTCAGTGGGCGATTGGCTATGTCACTGCAGATGGAAACATCCTCCAGACGATTCCCCACAACAAACCTCTTTTTCAAGCACTGATTGATGGCTTCAGGGAAGGCTTGTAAGTGACTTGTTTTTGTGTCGTGTCATAACTCTGGTTTGTTGTTTTTTCAGTTGAGGTTTCTGTACAGGCAATCCTTGATTTATGATCACAGTTGAGCCCAGGATTTTGGTTGTAAGTCATTGTGATCATAAGTCAAATCACCAAGTGCTGGGCTTGATTTTATGATGGTTGTTAACCGAGTCACCGCAGTCTTTAAGCAAATCACACATACTTGTAAGTCACAATCCTGTGAGCCAGTGAGCATTTTTTTCCAATAAAAAAGGCAGAAACCCTCAAAATGCAATTGCATGACCACAGGGGTGGTGTGGTGGTGGTGGGCAGCACTCATAACATTGAGGACGAGCCATAAATAACTTTTTTTGAGTCCATCATAACTTCAGATGCTTGTTAAGCAACCGGTTGTAAATAGAAGACTCCCTGTAATTGAAAAACAGAATAGGAATTCAGTCTGTTCTGTCCTAGAGAAGCTGAAGAGCATCTGAAACTTCTTAGCTCTCTCTCTGAAACCCAACCTTGCTGTTGTGCTTGCCCTAATATAACCTGCCTTATCAGGCATCTGAATTCAAGGTTGTGTACAGTCCTTAGATACGCAACAGATTTGAGTTTCTCTTTCCAGCCCTGTGGGGTTTGTCATATAGGCATCAGTCGCAAAGCACAGCAACATCAAAAAGCTGGCAGGTGTGTCAGGGCCTCATTGTGCAAAAGAGGCAGTTATGAACTTGCACGATGATCCCAAATGCCAATAGGTGTGTTGCCTTATTTGCATGGTGATGTCACGACGCATGTGGCATCATTGCCCAGGCCTATTAGAGCAAATCAGTGCAAGCTTCCTTAAAATACCCGACTTTTGATTGGCTAAAGCACTGCAACAGGTTTGGCTCTGAGCAGCTCGAAGCGAAGAGACCTGTTCCGTTTTAATCAATAGGGAAATCACAAGTCAAAATTTATTTTTCCACATTTGGGGCCTTGTGAGGTCTCTCTTTTTTTAAAAAAAACAAACAAACTCCTTTTCATAATTAAGTGTATCTTCTAATTCAGCTCTCTGAAAGAATGTCATCTCTCCCCACTTGTCTGAGACTCTGCTCTGTCCAGCTATATCTTTCTTTTAAAATAAATAATCTTTGTATCTCTCCTGTAGTTACTTGTATCCCGATGGAAGAAACCAGAATCCTGACCTGACCGGCCTGTGTGAGCCCACACCGCAGGACCACATTAAAGTCACCCAGGTGAACGGAGATCACTCATTCTTCTCCATTCCTTCCATCTAGTCCAGGGCTCTCCAAACTTAGCAACTTTTAAGACTTGTGGACTTCCATTCGCAGAATGGTGGTTGAGGAATTCTGGGAGTTGAAGTCCACAAACAAGTCTTAAAAGTTGCCAAGGTTGGAGACCCCATCATGTAGTCTTCTTAAGCTTAAAAAAAATACAGAAAGTGCACAAAGGGATGTGTGGAGTCTACATTTGGCAAAAAGGGTACCGAGGAATATGGGTTAGAGAGCACTTTCTTTTATCAGATTTTCCATCTCTTGCAATGCCTGCAGTTTGAAGTCCTTGCAGCCACAATTTAAGAATCGCACCCTGTTCCACTCATGATACTCCTTACCTTTTGAAATAAGTGGCCATCGATGAATTTTTTTTTTAAAAAAAAATGCATTGCAAGCTTTAACCTCTCCGTGGCCCTTTTTGAAGCAGGCTGTTTCCCGAAAGGTGTTTTTACATCTGTCCCTTTCTGGATTCTTACCCTCAGGAGCAATACGAACTGTACTGCGAGATGGGCTCCACCTTCCAGCTCTGTAAAATCTGTGCCGAAAACGACAAAGATGTGAAGATTGAACCCTGTGGTCACCTCATGTGTACCTCTTGTCTCACGTCATGGCAGGTATGGCAATTGGCCCTTGTCAGAGCCCCACTTCTTAAAACACAGCCTGCTGCAGCCTGTGCAGAAAGCGGCAGCTGGTGGCCGGTTTGCCTGGCTGGGCATGTTGTGTCAGTATCGCAGCTATCCCCAGTTTTGCAAAAGGCACCTGGAATGCCTGTTTTTTTCTAGGCTGTGTCAGCTGTCATGGAGTTGTGCTCCAGTGTGTTTATGCAGCGAAAATGAGTGTTATGAATATGGAGTGGCTGACTTGTGCAGCTACCTTGAAGGAGACAATGGTTTTGTTTTTTTTGGTGTGTGCGTGTGTGTGTGTGTGTGTGTGTGTGTGAGAGAGAGAGAGAGAGAGAGAGAGAGAGATGCACCGTTTGATTTTTCTTCCTCTTTCTTTGGCTGTTCTCATAAGGCCTCTAGTCATCCATTCAGGCTAGTTAATTTCCTACTGCAATAGCAAGTTGTAAGTTCTACCCTTTCTTTCTTTCTTCCTCCCTCCCTCCCTCCAAGCTAACCCTGCTGCCACGTTCCATGGGGTGGCCCTGCGTGAATCCCCTGGTCCTTATGTCCCTCCTTGCTCTCTACCTGCAGGAATCGGAGGGGCAGGGATGCCCGTTCTGCCGGTGTGAAATTAAAGGCACCGAGCCTATTGTGGTGGACCCTTTTGATCCCCGAGGAGGGGGAGGGCTTCTGAGGCATGGGGCAGAAGGAGCCCCTTCTCCAAATTATGACGATGACGACGACAGAACGGATGATTCACTGTTCATGATGAAAGAGCTGGCTGGTGCAAAAGTAAGACTGGACTGTTGGTCTCCTCTATGGAAGTAATATAAACTGGGATGGGATGGACAGACAGACAGACAGAGGTAGCCACTAGGTCTTCAGAATGATGTTCTGTACAGACCCTGAACCTTCAGTTTGACTCCTTTGAATCACATGAGCCAAGTTTGGATACGTTTTCTAGTATTTGGTTTCAGACGGTTGTCAGCATTCCACTTTAATTAAATGTCTGTATTGTCAATATTAATGTCTGTAATTGCCAGTCACCTGGGATTTCTGCAGTAAAATATTGCAGTGAGTAGCCCTGTCCATTCTGCCTGCACTCTATCCTGGTATGTTTCCTCCAAGCAATTTGAGCAAAGCTCAGATTAGCAAGGGGTGCTCATGTGTGTGTGTGTGTGTTTTCTTGGATTTTGCAGTCCTTTACACCTACGGCTGAGCTTGTCGATAATGTCTCCTTGTACTTGAGGTGTGCTGGTTAGCGATGCATCTCTATGAGTCTCTAGTTGAGTACTGAATTCACTACCAACTTAGAAAATTTAGCCTTTGCTGAAGCTGCCATTGTTTGCCTGTTGATGTAGCACATTTTATTTGCATAATATTTTGTTTTCTGCTCTCATGGAACCTGTTAATGATTTCTGGGATTGCTGGGTCCCAGCAGATACCAGTTCCAGCCAGGCCTGTGCCCTCGTTGCACCTCAGCTGGTGGCTGTCCTTAAGACGATCCATCTATTGGTTTCAAAAACTATGCCCACTGCAAGTCCAGTTCAAGAGTAGTAGGCAGATTAATCAGTGACAGAACAGGCCTTGTGATTGCTGAGATGCTGGAATTAACAGGAAGGAAGAGGACCTGCTTATATTTGTTGGGTAGAGATGAATAGCAGGTCTCTCCCTTGAGTTGAAGAGAAGGTGACTTGAAATGCCAAGCTAGTGGTAACCTGATTATTAGGTTGGATTTTTAAAAATGTTTTCATTGATGTCCTCTTGGCATCTCTTCAGGTAGAGCGTCCCCCTTCTCCATTTTCAATGACTCCGCAGGCGGCACTTCCCCCAGTACCTCCACGGTTGGACCTTCTGCAGCAGCAGCAGCGTGTGTCCACCCCACCTGGAGCATCAAGCCCAGGAACCACTTCCAAGGTACCGGAACTTGTAGACTGAACAGGTGTCCTTCAAAAGGCGTCTATCTGAAATGCACCAAGGGAAGAGAATATTTGTAGCTGAGGGTTGAACGGTGGGATCCTTGGTGCTCTCTTTCTTGAAGATGTTTCATTACCCAATTAGGTAACCTCTTCAAAGATGATGTCAGCTGGCGCTTTGTGTTCCCTAGCTGAGTAATGAAACGTCTGCGAGACAACTCCCAAGCTCAGAGGGCTCCAAGGATCCCACACTGTCTGAAATGTGTTGGGCTTGATTGATTTTCTTCAATGGCAATGGGACTGTTCCACTTTCCCTCTTCTTGACAATTCATCATCCAGCTATTGCATTTGTTGAGTTGAATGACTCCATTCACAGCCTTGATTGACTGATTTTTCAGCCAGAGCCCACTTCTTCCTGCCCACGTTAACAGCATGTTGTGGATCCTTACACACTTTGGGCTGTGTGGTACTCACCTCAGAGTTACCTTTCCTCTATAACTTGCCTGTTATAATTTAATTGTTGTTTTATTGGTGGCTGGAAACTTCTGATCAGCTTTTTGAATAAGAATAAAATAAAAACATGAACAGGTGGTGCATGGCTTTGATGATTATACAGGATTATAGGAAGAAGGATATTACGATTTAACTTTACTGCTTCTCCAACCTCGGTGACTTCTAAGATGTGTGGACTGCAACTCCTGGAATTCCATGGCTGGCTGGGGGATTCTGGCAGTCGTCGTCCATGCATCTTAAAGCCACCAAGGTAGAGAAAAAAACTGCTTCAGAGAGAAAGGTTAAAATACAGTTGTACTTGGAAAGCTTTCCATTGTTTTACAGGCTGCACCTGGTTCTCTCCACAAAGACAAACCTCTGCCGATCCCACCGACTCACCGAGATCTTCCTCCACCCCCCCCTCCAGACAGGCCCCACGCCGTTGGGACAGAGACTCGGTCCCAGAGACGACCCTTGCCTTGCACTCCAGGAGACTGTCCTTCCAGGGACAAGTTGCCCCCCGTGCCCTGTAACCGTCAGGGGGAGCTCTGGCCATCGCGGCCAATGTTGAAGGCGCCCACGGAAGCCTGGGCCAGTCGGGAGCTGAAGAACCGCCATTCCCTCCCTTTCTCACTGCCTTCTCAGATGGATGCCAGAGTGGAGCCTCACAGACTGGGCAGTACTCTGAGCTTGGACACTCCGGTGGTGAGTGTGTGTGCCAGGCTTCCCACGGGGGAAAGGGCAACAGGCCAATTGGAAAGGCCAGGTCTTCAGGCTCTTTCAGAAAGCCAACGGGTGCATGTGGGCACCCTCAGGGGCCTGGTGTTCCAGTGGATGGGAGCCACAGCGGAAAAGGCTCTTCTCCTGGACCCTGCCAGTCGGAATTCCTTGACCAAACGGGGTCTGCAGCATGAGCCTTCTGCCCCTTCTTATGGCTTATTTATGAAATTGGTAAAGCTACAAAAATGTCAGGCACAAAAGAGCAAGTCAACCCATAAGATCCAATTAGACTGATTTATTACTACTCATGGTTATGCACAGGACTATTCACCTCACAATTGGCAGCTGCTTGGAGTTAGATAAGGGTCAACAGAAGGAGGGTTGGACTGATTTCGCTTGTGGCTACGTAGGGATTCTTGTCTGATCCCTCTTTTGACTCCTGCTGCAGATTCTGCCTCTCCTTCTCCTACACAAAGGCAACGGTGGGCATAGCAAGATTATTTCTAGTGGACAAAGTTGCTTGGATCTGGACCATTAAGTCAGGGGAGACATGGCCCTTGTTGGTTACTTGGGATGAGTTTGATCTGATAACACCTGAGGAAATGGACAAGATCTGTGATATTTCCTCAGGCTGTTCAAGAGGTGACAAAATAGTTGGGCCCATGTGGTGGTGTTATCTTCCTTGAGAGAAGGAGCTAATGCCCTGGCTACAAGCTAACAGGTGATGCCTAAGTGTGCATTTTTTATAACTACAAAAATGTTCACAACAGGCTTAATAAATATACCTCTTTTGGTCTCCAGCTGTACGCTGGTGATGGCGTCTGACGCAACGTTTTCTTGCAGAATCAACTCGGTCTTCCTGCTGGCTTAGACAGCGAACATTCTAAAATAAAACCATCTTCTTCTGCCAATGCCATCTATTCTCTTGCTATAAGGTAAGCTGTGTCCTCAAGGAAGTTCAGCCACTGAAAATTTTAAGGATGTTTCAACATCAGTAGAGAGTTGAATTGCACAATCGGTAAACCATAGTTAGAAACTCGTGTCGAAACTCTGGGGAGAGTTTCCGGTTGGCATCTGATTCCTCACTGGTTTCTGATCCTCTCTGTAGTGAAGGCCTTGCTTTCTGGGAAGCTGGGATGCACAAAATGGAGCGGGTGATTTTAGGTTAAGCTGCTTAGTTAAATCTGGCTGGAGTTTTTGTTTCGTTTGGGGAGGTTCCATAGGATGGCTTTTGGGTGATGGTGCTTGGGAGAAACCACATGAATGTTGAGTTCAGCATCACGAAACTAAAATAGGATTAAATTGGATCTCCTCAGCTGAGTAACTTAATGTAAGAGGCACCTCTCTCTTGAGAGAATGTGAGGCCTGGTGTGTGTGTGTGTGTGTGTGTAACTGTATTGCCAGAAGTGTCATTTGTGATGCAAAGCTGGGCATCGTGAGTCACAAAGCTAAGCTTTTGAAAGATTAGACACATGGACCAAAAGCCTTCTAAACTTTTGCTTTCAACGTTTCATCAGCAGAGAGCAGCTGGCTGCCTTTTATCACAGATTGAAAACTTGTCTTGTCTTCTTCTCCCCCCAGGTCATTGGTTGCCCCAAAGCTGCTCTCTGGAGAGGCCTCTGGGAATGACGAAGACTCTGAGTACATGTCCCCTTCCTCCTTGCCCCTGGTGCCCCCTGGCTGTGCTGGACAAAAGCCTGATGCCAAACTGCCTTTGGAAATGAATACAGGTTCACGGTGAGGGAGTCCTTTGATCCCCCCCCCCCGTGTTTGTGATTGCGATTGAATTTTAGAGGCTCTGAGTGGAAAGGGGTAGAGCTGTGGTGGCGCAGTGGTTAGAATGCAGCGTTGCAGGCTAATTCTGCCCACTGCCAGCAGTTCGATCCTGACCGGCTCAAGGCTGACTCAGCCTCATTAAAATGAGGACCCAGATTGTTAGGGGCAATAGGCTGACTCTGTACATCGCCTACACAGGGCTGTAAAGCGCTATGAAGTGATATGTAAGTCTAAGTGCTATTGCTGGTGCTTGTTAGGAGTGAAATTGGCTGGCCTTTGAATTCCCTGCAATATTGTAAGCTAGAATTGTTTGAAACTTGGCATGGCCTTGAAAACAACCTGATCAGAAGGATGCTCTTCTGCTTTGTGTAATGGCCAAGGATGCTTACAGGCTCAAAACGGCACAGCTTGTAGGTCTATGCTGAAGTTTTGAGCACAGTGTCTCTTCGTGTTGTGGGAGTTGAATCCAATGCCTTCTCTTTCTCTCTCCTCAGCGTATTGGAGTGTGAGCAGGAAATGGAGGGAACGACTTACGAAGCAATGTTCAATATTCAGTCCCAGCCAGCACCGTGTTCCTCTGAAACTGCCAGCATGCCTGGTAAGTTTCCTGGGAAATGAAATCACGTTTAGGCTAGATTTATATTGCAAGAAGCCAAAATGAAGGAAACACAGTCTCTCTTTGCTAAGAAAGGCACCCAAGCGTTCCAGCCAGTGCCTCTGCTTTCATTATCTCTCTGTGTTTGTCTGTATGTCTCATCCAGAGCCATTAACACTTCATTTTCCTTCTCCTGCCCCTTGGATGGAGGAAGGATTGAGCAGTTCCTCCTTGAGAATATAAGCCCACTTGCACTGGGCATTATTTACACAATAGCTACGTGTGACCATCCTACGTGTGACTGTGACCGTTCACTCTGGCAATTTATAGCAGGGAGCAAAAATTACAGGCTAACTCTTCCACCAGGTTGCTCTTTCACTCTCTGAGGTCTTTGCTTTCTGTGGAATGAAAGAATCTGCAACTGCCATTCTTTCAGATTTCCATTTATTTAGCGTACGGCATATCATACGTGGACTAGCAATATAAACACTTCACCTAGGTTCATGAAACACAATAAAATATAAATGTCAAAAAGATCTATGTTCAAATACCAATGTCTAGGCCAGGGGTGGGGAACCTTGGCTCTTTTATGACTTGTGGACTTCAGCTGGCTGGCTCAGGAATTCTGGGAGTTGAAACCCACAAGTCATAAAAGAGCCAAGGTTCCCCACCCCTGGTCTAGGCCATCTCGGGATGGCAAAATGGCTTTTCTGTGTGTTTNGAGTTCGTTCCACAGGGTGGGAGCTCCCACAGAGAAGGCCCTCCCCCTGGGGGTCGCCAGCCGACACTGTTTGGCCGACGGCACCCTGAGGAGGCCCGCTCTGTGGGAGCGTACCGGTCGATGGGAGGCAATCTGCGGCAGAAGACGGTCTCGAAGATACCCAGGTCCGATGCCATGGAGCGCTTTAAACGTGGTAACCCAGGTCCGATGCCATGGAGCGCTTTAAACGTGTTACACATCACACTTTTAAAAAATTTCTGTGCATTTTTGATCAGCGTTGAGTTTTAGGCTCTCCGTGCTCCTCTTGAAAGTGCTCTCTCTCTCCTGATGAGCCTGCAGGCTGGAGGCCTAAAGGTGTGCTGAAAAGGCTTACTCCTTTTTCAGACGTAGGGGACATGGTAGCTGATGAAGATGCCCCCAATGGTCCTGAGGAGCCGGGGAACGAGGAAGACGGCTATGATGTTCCCCGCCCATCCGCCCAGCCAGCCACCACTCGTCGCACACTGTCCGATATCTCCAACGCAGCCACCTCCTTCAGCCACGCCTCTCTGGATGGCGAACTTCTAGCAGGTGCTCACGCATGTTCCTGGGCAGGCTGGCGGGTGGCCGAGGCCTCTAGGAAAGAGCCCTGCATTGGACAGGACATAAAAGGTTGGGAACAGAGAGAGGGGCAGAGCTGGCTATCTGTCCTGGACAAAATCTCAAGCAAAATACCTGGATTTTGATAGGGAACCCCCAGCATTCAAATCCCTGGAGCTGGGTGATAATGACCACTGACTCCCCCCCCCCCTCTTTTTCAAGTCCTTCCACACTTTTCCTTTCCTGACTTTCAGAAAGGGGAGGGATTGGCAGGCACTATAATGTTGAGCTGTTTTGTTTCCTTGCTCTGCATCAGGCTTTGCTCAGAAGGTCTGTTGCAGCGATAAGCTCCCGAGTGCTGCGATGTCAGCCCTTCAAGCGAGGCCAGACTAGAGGCCCAGAGCTATCAGTTGTTCAATCTAATTAATTAATCAATCAGACTAAAGCTGGAAGGGACCTTGGAGGTCTTCTAGTCCAACCCCCTGCTCAAACAGGAGGCCTTATACTACTTGAGATAAGGGGCTGTCTAGTCTCTTCTCAAAAGCTTCCAAACTTCTGAAGGCAATCTCTTCCACTGGTCATTTATTCTCACTGTTAGGAAATTTCTCCTGAATTCCAGGTTGCTTCTCTCTTTGATTAGTTTCCCTCCGTTGTTTCTTGTCCTGCCCTCTGGTGCTTTGGAAACTCTGAAGGTTAATGGCCAGAAAGGAGCCACCAGAAGAGAGCAGGAAAGCTGCCGATCCAAAATCCCTTCCTCTCAGCCCCGTGCTGCTTTCTCTTGCAGATGCCTCCGACGTCTCCCAGGTTCCCGAGAGGCCCCCGAAACCTTTGCCTCGGAGAATAAACTCTGAACGGAAGGCGGGCAGCTGCCTGCAGGCCAGCGGAGCAGGACCAGTCCCTGCGGCCTCCCCGCAGCTCTCCTCCGAGATCGAGAATCTCATGAGCCAAGGTTACTCATATCAGGACATCCAGAAAGCCCTGCTCATCGCCCACAACAACATTGACATGGCCAAGAATATTCTCCGGGAATTTGTCTCCATTTCTTCCCCCACGCACGTGGCCACATAGCACCTCTTTCGGCCCTACCTGGAGCCCTCCTCCCGTGCGTCCACCTGCCTGGGCAGCCTCTTGCCTGCATCGGCCTGGCGTTGAGCACAGGCTCCTTGAGGGACTTCCCTGCAAAGCCGGGCCTGCCTCTGCTGAGATTCGGTCATCAGGGTTTTGTGCAAGTCCAGGTGTTTGAGTGGCGTGAAGCGGAGCAGATAGGTGTGTCCTTCCACAATCTCCTGTCCCTCTTTGGGTTCTCCTCTCTCTGCCCACCCATCCAACACCCCCCTCCCCTCCTTGCACTTTTCTGATTGGAGAGGACAGACCTGCTAAACTTTGGATGCCGGTCACTGGTTTCCTTTGCCGTTAGAATACGGGGAAGGGCTGCTTGGTCAACTTGTCTCGTGCTGTGAATCCCAACCAGAGGCCAAGATGCTGAAGGTACCTCCACATCCCTGGTGGTCTGGGGTACCACCTGCGGGCCTCTTTGCTGCTGTATGTTTTGGCTCAGGCTTTTCAAACCCTCTGCTGTCAGGTACAGATTCTTGATGAAGCCGGAGGTTTCAGCGCCTTCCGTTTTCCCACCCTCCTCTTCCCTGTCTCCTGTCACGTTCAGTCCTCCTTTGGAAGTCAACCTCTTCCCGATGCCGACTTTACCTGCCGCACACTGGACTCCACAGCGTGATAGGTGTTGACAGCTCTCGCGTGTTGGATTGGGGAAGGTGTTTGGGCGGGTGGGGAGTCGAAGCTCCCTACTTTGCAGCCCCCACTCTTTTCTGCTTTGAGGTGATCCGGGCTGGGTTGGGCCACAGCAGCTGTCTCGTGATGTTCCTGATGTTATGGTCGGTCAACAGAGCTGCCCATCTTAGCAGCCTTTAGATGCCTTACGGCTCTTCCAGATCCCCTCATTTACCTATAAAACTCTAATTAAAAGTTAACCACAAGCATGGTCCCTTAGACACTTGCAGAAAAAAGTGTATGTAGCACCCCCTGGAATCTCTTACCTACTCAGTAGTAAAAATGCAACCATTTTGGAACAGCATAAAAGACTTTTTCCTGGCTTGTTATATCAGGAACAAAAGAAAGTCTGTTGGAAGACCAATGTCCATAAAACACTGACTTTCTGGTGCCCTGCTTTAAGCTCTTGGTGTTACTTTTCCTGGGTTCTCAGGGAAGAGATACGAGGAAGCTGTTTTGGTCTAGGGAAAGGTCAGCAAGCATCCCCCCCCTTTTTTCCCCTCTTTCCTCATCTGCTTCCCAAGTTTTCTGTACCACCTGCAGGGCGAGAGCATGTACCCTGGCATGAAAGCGGACATCTCAAGGTCCCCTGCATGATTGGCTTCCGTGTTTCAATAGCATTAATTCCTCCTCCTTAATCAAGGATGCTTTCATTCTAAGAGGCCGGAGAAGAGAGTTTCTGTGGAATGATGTTTTCTGCTCAGGAGGTTTAAGAAGGTCTTCTCTGGGTAGCAGGAGGCACCAACAAGATGGCCAAGACCTCACGGGGATCTCCAAGCCTCCTTGGAAGCTGGCGGTGCCAGTCCAGTCTTCCTGCCTGCAGGTGACTCAAGATAAAATTGTTGGGCTTGAAGGCCTCCTGGAGGGGACTCTGGCTGTGTGCGAAGGAGATGGGGATGGCACCTAGAAGCAGGGGAATTCTACGTCCCTGCTGCAAGGAGAACTTTATTTTTTAAAGTTGCAGTGGCTTTGTTTTTTTTCTCTCTCTCTCCCCCCCCCCCCCCAGCCTAAAAATTAGTGGAACCTTTTTCCGTTTCTCTCCAGGATGGTGGTTCAATCTGGGTCAGTTCAGGAGTCAGTTTCTCGAGTTCTTTGCAAAACCCCGAAGAAGCTTTTGGTGTGATCCTGGGGGAATTGTTGACACTCCTTGCTGGAAGTGAGATGCGCGCATTGTATCAGCCCACGTCCTAACAAAGAGAGGCCTTTGTTTTCCTGCGGGTGCCGTGCCGAGGATTAGACAGAGCAGAGCCAGCACTGCCATTGCCGCGTAGCCGACTGGATTCCACTCCGTGTGTTCCTTCATTTCCTTTTCCCGTCTTAAATTTCACTAGGACATTTTTTTTTAAAGCATCTTCCCGTGAATGTCATAGTCCAGCAAGCACGAGGGAAGTACAGGCCAAAACACTTCTTTGGGGGGGGGGGGATGTTCCCTGCTGCTTTCACATCTGACTTTCCTCCACCCCACCTCCCTCCTTCCCCCATCTCTTTTTTGGGGGGGGGGAAGTGTTGATTTATTTTACTGAAAGCCAAATGTATAGTGCCTTTTCAATAGGGAAAATGCTGTTCTCCCCAAGGACGAACCTGAAACTAGATTTGAAACTTGACTGCAGAGCCCTGCAGCGTCTCCTGGGGTATCTTAGTTTGGAAGGAAGGAAGGAAGGAGCCAGCGGTTGGCCACACGCTGGCGTGAGCAACAGCCACAATTAGCTCTCCCTTGTTAGCTTCTTCATTACTAACAACGAAAGGCTGGTGTTTCCTGCCCAAAGCTGTACTTGAAGGTGATGGGAGTGCTGCTGGACAACTTTAACGTAGCTATGGGGACCCCCAACTCCTCCATCATTGGTTTCCTTCTTGAAACGGAGTCTACTGGTCCGGAAGCAAAATCCAGTTGGCTCCTTCAAGGTGTGTCTAAAGCAGCAGTGTCCAACCTTGGCAACTTGAAGACCTGTGGACTTCAGCTCCCAGAATTCCCTAACCAGCACGGCTGGCTGGGGCATTCTGGGAATTGAAGTCCACAAGTCTTCAAGTTGTCAATCCTTGGCCCAGAGCCTGCCTTGGGCCAATTTGGGGGGCATTTTTTTTTTGCTTTTGGCCACTGAAGGGGCAGAAATGGTCTAGCATTGCCTCTTGAGCACTGCTTGGACGTTCCCATTTCTCGTGTGTGTGTGTGTGTGTGTGTGCGTGTGTGTGTGTGGCTGGACAAGGATTTCCTGTGGATTAAATGTTCAGTGCCTGTTCGGTTCACAATGGATCTCTTTCCTTAAAAGTGTGGCCTCCTACATCCTAGGCATGCAGTTGCATTGAGGGACATTATTGGTAGCTGGAAGAGTGGAATTAATCATGGATGAGATTGGATGACATTCCCACCCAATGATCAAGAGTTCCCTTTTTTTCTTTTTTGGACTAAAACTGCGATCTGGGAAGAGGTTACACTAAACTATAAGTTATCTTTGCTGGGTAGAAAAGAGTGGTTAATAACAAGTAGCTTTATTTCTCCTGAAGGTCAAGAACCAATGTAATATTGGTGTCTAAAAAAAAAAGAATCAGATTTTCACTGACTATTTTAAAAGTTATAATATCATTAATATAAAAAAATATATTAGCAGTATTTAATCCTTTCAGACATGTAAAGAGTAAGAACAGAAGGTAAATATTCTTACAGAATAGCCGAGCTTTAAGATTCATTTGGGCTAAAGTCCTCGGGTTTTTGTTTTATTTTGCAGATGCATTGTTAATGTTTTAGAGGTTATACTAATGTTATTTATTTTTTATTTTTCATTCTGGTAAGGGGCCCACTGAAGAGCTTGGTGGGAGGGGTGGGGGCCTTTAGGGAATTTCATGTGTGTCGATAAAAAGAGAAACAAAAGGAAAAGTTTTATTTTTAAATAAATTTCTTTGTTGTAGCACACGGCTTGTTTGATGTCAATGTCAGTTCTTGTGATAGGGAACCCCTTCTACCAGGCTGAGGTGCAGGGGCACCCCAGTTGTAGGGGTTCCCTGAGAATGGTTTTTCCAGCAGTTTCACATCAGTGAAAATTAGACCCATGACTCTAGACAAGGGCTCTCCAAATTTGTCAACTTTTTAAGATTTGTGGACTTCAGCTCCCAGAATTCCTTGAGTCAACCATGCTGGCTTGGGGAACTCTGGGAGTTGAAGTCCAAGCACCTTAAAGTTCCTGAGGTTGAACAACCCTGTCTAGACTTTGCTTGTAGACTTGATGGCCGCACACAAAGGCCAAGCTTTTGTCTGTTGTGCATTGTTTGATAATGGGTGAGGCCACCTTCCTAGTGAACAGACACACTTGCACCGGGAAACCTCTCTCTCTCTCCCTCCTCTTAACACAGCTGATTTAAAATAACCGAAGCCATTCCCTGAGATTCTCCTTTTTCCAGTCTCCATGTACACAAGAGGCCATTCTTGACGACTTCTTTAGCTTCTTTATTTTTCATTTATATATATATGTATATATATATATAAAACCCTGAACTCAGACACTCTTAAATTTACACACATGTCAACAAAAAATATATGTATATCTCCAACAAAAGCTTTCCATTCTGGCATCTCCTGGCTTGCATGTAAAGCACAGCAGCCCCTCACTGTTTTGGTAACCCATTTAACCAGATAGTGTTTTCTAGCAAGATATTTACTATAGGGTAGAGTTGTCCAACCTTGACAGCTCTGAAGACCTGTGGACTTCCAATTCTCAGGAAGTTGACTCAGCCTTCCATCCTTCTGAGGTCAGTAAAATGAGGACCCAGATTGTTGGGGGAGGGCAATATGCTGATCCTGTAAACCGCTTAGAGAGGGCTGTAAAGCACTGTGAAGCGGTATATAAGTCTAAGTGCTATTGCTATTCCCCAGCCAGCCATGCTGACTGGGGAATTCTGAGAGTTGAAGTCCACAAGTCTTAGTTGGACACCCCTGCTATATAGGGTTTTTCCTCCCAGCTTCAAATTTTATAAAGGTCAAAATAGGAAACGGCAGCCAGGAGATCCCAGGAGAAGGAAAGGGGAGGAGGGAAAGGGAAAGGAGGAGGCATGACTTGATTTCCACATAGGGATCTTGTCCATTCCAAGCAAGGACAGGTTCTAAGACATTCAAGACCATCAACCCTCCAGAGCAGCCAAACACATCTTCTGTATTTGGTCTCTGGCGGTGGCAGCTGCCTCTTCCTCCAAGGATCTCAGCTGGACAGAAACCCAAGAACCGCGTCTCCAATTCCCATTTTTCTCTTGTTGCAGCCGAGGGAGAAGTGGGCGCTGCGGAGGGTCTTAGCAAAAATTACGGCAGTGGCTGTGGACTTGAGCAGGGATTTCTTTGGAGCTGGAGGGAAGAGGGGACTAGCTGGAGATCTCTGATAAGATGTGACTGTACAGTTTTTACACACAAAAAAATCCTCTTCTAGTGCTTTTCAAACTTGGCAATTTTAGGATGTGCGGACTTCAACTTTCAGAATTCTTAAAAGTTGCCAAGTTTGAAAAGCATTGCCTTGTTCCTATCCTAAGTAAGAACCACGGAAAGAACATTTCACTTATTAACCGAACAAATTCCCCCGGTGAGTGTCCTTAAACAAAAACTTCAAATGTGCTTCTTCCTTTTTCACTTTTGAGACTCACGTCTTCTGTTCAACTTCAGCCATTCTCCGCCTTTGACATGCTTTTTAAATGAACATTTCGATTTACCTCCTTACTGGAAACAAAGCCTCTTACCCATTATCCTGTGCTCCAGCTTTACAAATTGGGTGTTAATGGTGTAACAGTTCTAATTCTGAACTGACTGGCTTGTCCAGTATTGAATTGTGCCTACTTAAACCTTTTGTTCCCTTCTTTTCTAAAACCCGGAATGCAAACACATAACATACAACAGAACAGCACAGATCTGCCCACCCTCTTAACACAAATGCTCTGAAATTACAATGCATCAAACCACCTTTCCTTTCCTTATTGTCTTCTTTGAAAAAAATCACATCCTCCTTGAAAAGACAGAAGGCAAGATTGCAGAATATCCCGTACTGGGTCCATCCGTGCGTTGTTGGTTACTGCGTGTCTGAATGACGGGGTGGGGTGAATGTTTTAGAGGGGGCAGGAGAAAATTTGAAGAAAACGGCCAGCTCTCTTCAGTTCCTCAGATCGATGTATTTCTCTCCCTTTGAGAGCCAAGAGAGGAAGATCTTGCATTAGGATCCAGAAAAGCATGCCTCTTTTTTTTTTTTTTTTAAAGATCCCAATTCACCCAAAGTGATTTCTTGCTAGCACAGGGAGCAGTTGTGTGAACGAGAGCAAGTGACAAGTTTCAAGACAGGGCAAAAAAAAAGCACATGCTGGCTATTTTTTGGGACTCTTGCAAACGACCCACTCTTCCTTCACTGGAAAGGAGAGGACGGAAGGTTGCCAAGCCGGCTCTGGGTTCAAAAGAAGCAGTGAAGCTGCAGTCCGGGGAGATGCTGAAGCGAGGCACGTCTGCGGAATGGGCTCAACCTGTTTCCTGCTCTAACGTCAAACCTGCATTTGCACCCTGTGGGGTAAAGAAACCAAACTGCCTGGATTCCCACGGCACAGCCCTTAAAAAAAACCCGCCGCGCTGGGCAAAAAGGCCAGCTAGTTTTTGTCCAACCTGTTCCGTGATCCCAGCCAGGGTGAAGTGACTGCAGAAAGGTCAAAGGCCTTCAGGGCAAAGGCCCACCTTTGTGACTGCAAAGGAAGATCCTGCCTGCAGGGTTGGCCCCTGCTGAGAGATGCTGATGGGATGGTGGGGAGAACTGCAGCCCCAAACAGAGATGGGCGAGAACAGTATTTCTCAACTTGGGTGACTTTTTAAGATGTGTGGGCTTCAACTCGCAGAATTCTCCAGAATGCTGGCCAGGGAATTCCGGAAGTTGAAATCCACACACCACCTTAAAAGTTGCCAAGTTGAGAAGCGCTGGGCTAGCAGCTCACAGAGGAAAGTGCTTTGCGCTCTGTCGGTAGTCCACAACCATTTGTTTAGCATGTTTGAAGTTGCAATGGTGCCGAAACAAGTGACTTACCACCAGTCTTTGCGCTCGCAACCACCACAGCATCCCCACAGTTGTGATAAAAATTCAGGCACGGCAAGTGGCATGTATTTACAACAGTTGCAGCATCCTGAGGTCACCTCTGACCTTCGCAGCTGGCTTCCGACAAGCAAAGTCAACTGGGGGGAACCTGGATTCACTTAATGGCTGCATGATGGCAGTGATTTGCTTATCCACCGTGGCAAAAAAAAAGGGTTCTAAAATTGGGCATGACTGCCTTGCTTAGCAACAGACATTCCTGTTCCAATTCTGGTTGTAAGCTGAGGACTACATATTAAATTGCCCAGTAGCATCCAAGCCACGATGCAACTGAAGTGAGCTGCAAAGGAGGAATGGGTGGGTTTCTGATCATTGGGGCAAGATTGTACCTTGACGGTATTGTCATTTTATTGGATTAGGAATATGTATTGAGGATTTTAATCTTTTTTTTTAATCCTCTAAGCTGCCCACAGTTGTGTTGTAGCGAGATGGACAGCAAATAAATTTAATAACGAGAAAAGGGGGTCCAGTCCACTAAGAAGGAACTGTTTGCTGACAGCCCATCTGCACCCCGAATGGTGGCACTGATCTGGAGGGGGACGATGGATGAAAGTCCCCCCCAGGATACACAGATGGAGGGCCCTGCAGGAAAGCAACCGCCCACCTTTTCAGCTGCAGGAGCTGCCTACCTGGTCACCTGGCGATCTCTTCTCACCGTTGGCACCCTGCAGAAGACCCGCCTCTTCAGGAAGTTTATCTGATTTTACTTCAACTACAATCTCGTCTTTATGTGCTTCGGGCCTCGTGCTGAAGAGGAGGAGGAGGAGGGAGGAGTGTGATAGTGTTGAGACAGATCCAGATGGGGCTCTGGGGAAGGGGGTTGCAAGGGGAGGGGGCATGCTGCAGGTCAGAGAGGGAGGGGCACCCTTGTCTCTGCTTCCTGTTTCTTGCGTGTGAGGGCAGAGTTGCTTAATCCAGGTGAAAAGACCCACAAGAGGCACTTTTGCTCAGTTGGACACTTGGTTAATGTAAAGGCCTGTGGGAACGACCTCAGGAGATGGAAGGAGGAAGAATCGCAGACTAAACAAAAGGCATCTCGGTCCACAGAAGGAGAAACGGGCAGGAAGCATTTCAGACCCTTCCTAGTTTTGGCGTAATTAAAACTATAGGAGGGGAAAAGTGCTTTCAGACTTGCAAGATTCTCAAGCTTGACTCAGCCTTCCATCCTTCTGAGGTCAGTAAAATGAGAGCCCAGATTGTTGGGTCAATGTGCTGCCTCTGTAAACCGCTTAGACTTAGAGAGTGCTGTAAAGCACAGTGAAGCGGTATATAAGTGCTATTGCTATTCTGCTGCAGTAAGCAGAACAATAAAGGTTGTACACGTGGTTGGTGGTGCTTGTCTGGACAACTGTGAAGGGCTGTTGTCAATCTTGTAAGTCTGAAAGTATTCCTCTACTTTCCTGTTTCCCTCTGGTTAATGCTTCCCACGGTTTCCACTGAGATAAGCTGTTGGACGAGAGTTGTCCAGGCTTTGACTTTCCTTCCTGTACCAAGGCCGTCCTCACAGACCATTAGGGATTAGGGGGAATGTGGAGGTTCCCGATTACTGCTGGGGGGGGCAGCGGCAAGGGAGCAGAAGCCAATCAAGCCACCTGCCCCTCTCCCCTGCATTCAGAAGCCGGCTGTTGCTGGGTGTGATGAGATTGGGAAGCATGTGGCCTCGGAAGGACAGGCAAATGGGAATTTCCCAGGAAATGCTTCCGACTTACATTTCTTGTTTGCCGGAGCGTCCGCAAGCCAGCTTGCCTTTCTTGTGCAGGAAGTAAAGGACGGCCCCCAGGATGGCGAAGACCAGCAGGAAGACGATGACGGCCACGATGATCACCCCTTTGCTGTCCTGCGTTATGGTCTCTGGAAAGGAAAGGAGGCGGAGATGGAACGGAACATCTGACCTTGGTGGGGTTCCGCTTGACGCATGAACAAGGGGCAGCGTTTGGGAAAGGAGCCTTGCTCAGGTCTCCTGCACTAGCCTCGGGTTGGGAGGTTCGGCAGAAGGAAAAGCCATATCAAATGTCCCAGGGTAGGCTGGAGACCCCCCTAAAACAAGCGTCCGGGTGGGATCCTTGCCAGTGGCACTGCTTGAGAGTTGTGTCAAATGCAACACAGGCATAGATCGAGTTCAGCCTGGTCAAGGGATCAAGCTTTCGTCTAGAGCAGCGGTTCTCAACCTATGGGTCGGGACCCCATTTGGGGTCGATCGACCATTTCACGGGGGTCGCCAAGCAAGGCTGTCCGCCATTTTTTTCCCCTTTTCCGGCGGGTGCCTTACCTCCCTTGAGCTGGGCCAGCTGGTGGTCGGCCTGCTCCGTCTCTGCCGCTTGCCAGCTACGCCTCGGCCGGTGCAGGGGGCGGAACCACACATGCACGGCGCTCCCGGGCAGGGAAAATCCTCGACTTACGACCGGTTGGGTAGTCCTCGACTTACGACCGGCTTAGTCCTCGACTTACGACCGGCTTAGTCCTCGACTTACGACCAGTTTAGTCCTCGACTTACGACTGGTTTAGTCCTTGACATACGACCGGTTGGGGGTCGCGGCATTAAAAAGGTTGAGAACCACTGGTCTAGAGTACAGGTAATCTTCGTCTTAATGACTGCTCACTTAGTGACCATTCAAACTTATGCCGGACCTTCCTGGGGGCACTTATGACCTGGTTCCAAAATTCCAACAGCTGCCCCATCTCGTGATCATGTGACCAAATGTCGGGCACCCAACAATGGCTGCATTTACAGCCGTTTGCAGCGTCCTACAATCGCGTGACTGTGTCTTATAATAGACTTGTTGAAAACTGGCGTTTGTTTCTCGTTTTTGACAAAACCAGCCCAAAACAGCAAACCACTGGTTCACTTAACAATTGTGGCACCACTGCAGCCACTTTACGACCACAGTATTTGCTTAATGACCACCTCAAAAATCAGGTTGATCACATGCCTGACCTTCCTTTTACAATTGGCACGAAGATACGCGAACTTCAACTCCCAGAATTCCCCAGCTGGCACGCAAAACTCTTCACCAAAGCCTCTTTCGTGAGTTATAAATGGGGCGTCTGCAGGGAAGGTGCCCCCCAAAGCCAAGAACGCAGCTGCAGTGGGGTTCCTGCTGCAATGCTTTTTTGATGGTGTCTAACGGAGAAGCACTTACCCGTTTTGTCAGGACGGTCTTTGGTTTTCAGCCCTTGAAAGGAAGAAGAGACACGCTGAGTAAACTCTTTGAGCCATCAAGACTTTTTTCTTACAGAGGGGACGCTCCAAGGGGAGGGGGGAACCACTTACAGAGTGGGAAGTGTTGATTCTCTGACCCCAACTCATTTTCACCACTGCAGCTGAGGCCTGATTTGAGGATCTCCTTGGTGACCAACACGGAAAGAGTGCTATTGTGGTGGTATTTCCGTCTGGATGTGTGCACCTTTAAAAAAAAGATGGAACAGTTCCTATTTTGTTGAGGGGAATTCAACAGTGGGTTAGTTGTTATTATTAAATAGGAAGAAGGTGAGAAATTATGACCAGCAGTCCCAGGAAACGAGCCTTAAAGATAGTCCTTGGTTTATGATCAGTCACTTAGCGACCAGTTGAAATTGCAACCCAGTTTCAAAATTCTGATGTCATTCCTCTCCCCCCATGGTCATGTGACTGCATTTTGGATGCCCGGCAATCATACTGTATTTAGGGTCACTTGCAGCGCCCCACAATCACCTGACTAGAATTTATGATGTTTTTGTCAGAAGTTGGTATTTATTTCCAATTTTCTGGCCAAACCCAGTCCGGAGAAAACAATGGATTCACTTAATGACTGCAGCGTTCACTCAAGGAATGACGCAAAAAAACCCCAAGCCTGGTTACAAGTATCATGACTTATGGCCATAATTTCTGGCTCAATTGTGGTTGTAAATCGAGGAGTACCTGTACAGGTGATGCCTCTGAAACTAGCAGTATTTATTCCCCTGCTCTTTTCAATTATTGTCTTTGAGGACTGCTGAGAATACCGGGGACCGCCAAGAAAACAAGTGAAGGGATGATCAACAAACCAGCTCAAAATTCTCACTTGGGACCCCAATGACCAGGGGGTATTATTTGCACACTGGAATATTTTTCTCAAGAGCCCAAGCTAGATCCATTCCAATTTTGAAGCCAATTTTTCTTTTGTTGGATTCTCTTTACACTCCTACTCCAGTTTGGGTCTGTTTTGGAAGAATTATCCGGCTAACAGACAATACAATCCCAAACTGCCTTTATATCATTTCTTTTACAGCAGTGTCCCCCAATCTTGGCAGCTTTAAGAGGTGTGGACTTCAATTCCCAGAATCCCCCAGCCAGCTGGGGGATTCTGGGAATTAAAGTCCATACATCTTAAAACTGCCGAGATTTGGAAACGCTGTTTTACCCCATTCTAGAGAACTGCAAAGAAGAGAAATAAAAAAATGAAAGAAAAGGAGGATAAAGGTTGGTCTACGGCTGACATAATCTTAGCAAGTGTGGGCAGGAGAAATAAATGTTTTGGAAAGCAGAAATCTCTCTGTGTGTATGTGTGTCTGTAAGAGAGAAATATCCCTCTGTGAATGAACTTGGCCAAGGCGGGAGGCCAGAGGGACCCATTTACCGTGCCGTTACTTGTACTCCAGGAGATGTTCATTCGAGGCACCGAGTAGAAGCTGCAGGTCAGATCCACCACCTCCCCTTCCCGCACGCTCAGATTCTGCTTCAGAAGCACCTTTTGGGGCTTTGCTGAAAGGGGAGAAAGGGCAGATGCTGGGCACTGCCTTATGGTCCAAGAAGTGCCCAAGGGAGAAGGGGCTGAGAGCTACTGGGTGCCCTATGGTCCTACCTCGAACAGCAACAAAAATGTGCCGGGAGCGCACCCAATCGGGGAAGTCTGGCATTGTCACCACACAGGTATAATTGCCCATTTTCTCATAGGTGATGGAAGTCAAGTTCAGGATGGCACCGTCTGCAATGAGCTTCCCTTTCTAGAATGAAAAAAATCACCCTGTGGTCCCCTTTACTTAGATTTTTTTTTATTCCTTCCCTCCTGAGAATTTTGTCTCTTTCCCTCTCCTTTTCCAGCTCACAACTTCCTCCCATCTTTCACAAAATGGAAGTGAACCCCACCCATCTTGCATCCCTGCCCCGCCCACCACCACCTTTCCCTCCATAATTGTCGAGTACAGCCCACCTTTGCCCCAAAGTCGCCTAGCCACCCTACTGGGCACCACCACCAACAGCATTACCTTCTGCCACTGGAATTTCAAGGGTCCAGATCCTGTGGTGGAGCAAGTTAGGGTCAGGTCTTCTCCTTCCACTGGTTCCTGGGTTCCAGCTGGGAAGATGGTGGGCACATCGAGGTCTGGAGGAGAGAAACAGGCTTAACCCTGAGCCTAATCTTTAGTTAGCCTCAAAAGGGACAGACTTTCAAAGTGCCTACAACAATCTAGAAACCTTCCTGGAATTCCAGCAGTGTATATCTCTGCTCGAAAGAAAGGGACATAATTTGGGATTAGAACTGTAAGTTCCCAGTAAGAAGCTAGCCTTGTCCCTGTCCTTTGAAATAAGAAATGACCATTGGGAGGGGAGAGCTACTCACAGTTTACCATCAGATCCACCGAAGCGATTAATTCCTCAAGAGTGTGCAGATCCAGGGCTTTGCACCAGTAGAGACCACTGTCGTTTCTCATGACGCTGGGAAATGACAGCTTCCCGTCTGGGGATGAGTATTGTGTGTCCTGTTTAGGGCAAAAGAGGTGGTTAGTGGACTAGGAAGAAGACCCCCATCTCCCTCCCTCAGCATTCTGGTTTTTAACTTAATTAAATACTGTTTATTTATTCCTTAATGTTTTAATGTCTGTAGCTCTGTTTTTACGACATTTTTAAGCCACTCAAGAGTTGTTTGACAGGGAGATGAACAGCATATAAATCTATCTATCTATCTATCTATCTATCTATCTATCTATCTATCTATCTATCTATCTATCTATCTATCTATCTATCTATCTATCTATCTATCTTATTATTATTATTATTATTTATTAAATTTATATACCGCCCTATCTCCCTTACGGGACTCAGGGTGGTGAACAGGCGATACTAAAAACCACGATAAATATACACAAGTTTCTGTTCTAAAATCAAATTAAATAACAGGCCTGTTCTAAAAACACCCCATACAAAACCCCCACTAAAACATAATCAAACTACGCCAGGCCGGCCGCACGGAATAGATGGGCCTTCAGGGCTCGGCGAAAAAGGCGCAGGTCCGCAACTGTACGTANGTGCAGCTCGCGCAGGAGAGGTGTTACATGGGAGCATCTAGAGGCCCCCAAAATCCCCCGCGCAGCCGCATTCTGAACTAGCTGGAGCCTCCAGGTGCACCTCAAGGGGAGCCCCATGTAGAGAGCATTGCAATAGTCCAGGCGGGAAACAACGAGGGCTTGAGTGACTGTGCGTAGGGCGTCCCGATCCAGAAAGGGGTGCAACTGGCGTATCAGGCGAGCCTGATGAAAAGCCCCCCTGGCCATGGCCGTCACATGATCGTCTAAAGACAGCCGAGCATCCAGGAGGACGCCCAGGTTGCGGGCCCTCTCCGCGGGGGCTAATGACTCACCCCCGATAGCCAGAGATGGAACCAACTGGCTATGACATGACGCCGGAATCCATCCATCCATCCACCTACCTACCTACCTACCTACCTACCACATCACATTTTGATAACCCAAGAGATAAAAAATGCAAAATATGAAACATAAAACCTATAATATTAGAAACGTATGTCTAGATTGCAGATACAATTTTTCGCTTTATTTGTCACAGCCAGGAAATCAGAAAAGTTTCCATTATGGGCTCTGTTGTGGCCCTCTGATTCCATATGTTGGATCCTTTGTTTTTTGACCTTGCAGTCACAATTTGGTGACCGTATTTTGCCCAGATATAATAAATAAACAAAATAAATAAAAGGAGAGAGAAAGGGTAGGAGCAGAGCTAGATCTCCATGAAAAGTTTTCATTCAACAGGGTGTGTCTGACATGTATAAGCAGCTCCATCAAGCTGGGAAAACTGCATTCGTACAATCTTACCTGATTTGCTTATAGTTAGTCATTCCATGGCTTAGCAAGATGTGTGGCAAAGTTGGAGTGGGGTCTGGGATAAGAGGCTCACCTCTGTCTTGAATAAAGTGTATTCAGGAGGTGGATTCCCATCACCTTCACAGACCAAAGTTACGTTGTCTCCTTCCTTCAACTCTTGGTTAGACTGGTCCAGTATAAAACTGAGGTTCTGGGTGGCATCTACGAGAAAAGCAGAGCAAAACCATCCGTCTTCTGCAATATGCTGCCATGGATTATGGGGTTTGAGGTCCACCTTGGCTTCCTCAGCAAAGCTGGGGATGGGAAGTTTAGTAAAAATATTCAGATTTCCCTGACTAGTTTTCATTCTGGACCCCAGTCGCCTCCAATGATTTATTTCAGGTGCCCCATTGAATGTCCCCTGGGAAAGGTTTTAGGTAACTTTTTTTTGGGGGGGGGGAATCTTCGTTGAATTTTACATGCAATGAAAACTGCCTTGGGAAAATCATTATCTTGAAAACTGGATAGAAATAAATAAATGTTTGTTTTCATTGTTTACATACATATATATAAATATAATCAGTATTATTGATTGGTTGTCATACAAACAATATTTTGTGTGTGCATGAAAACCAATTAATAATCTCTATAATTCAGCAGGTGGCAGCACTGGCTCACATTTATAACTGGTTGCAGCGTTGTGTGGTCCTGTGATCACAATTTGTGGGATTTGTTTTTGCCAGTTTCTGATGGAAAACACCATGGGGAAGCTGGATTTGCACACACAACTTGACTTATGATCACATGGCTTGACCTACAACTGGGGAGATTCAACTTAGGACTGTGATAAAAATGGTCATCCAATCGGATCCAGAGACAGGGTGACTCAGCTTACGACCGCAATGACTTGTGACTGAAATTCCAGTCCTTATTGTAGTCATAAATTGAGGATTATCTACGTCAGTTGCCAGCGTTACCAATCCCCGCCTCCTATGGACCCCACCCAACCCAAGTGCTGTGTCCAGACTTACAAAAAACATTGATTTTGAAGCTCTCTGACACGGCGGTTTTGTTTGTCCCCATCAGGGTATAATTGACTTGGCAGTGAAACTCAGCCTCGCGATCCTCTTTGGTGACTCGGGATGAAAGCATGCTGCGGACGGTGATCAGGCCGCTGGATTCCGTGATGACGGTCGGGTAGATCCCTATTTCTGGTGGAGAAAAAAGATGAAAGCAATGAGGTCAGCCTTGTTCCAAATAACTAACCTGGAGAGGAACAGGTCAGGTTCAAAGTGTGGCGAAAACAATTGTGGTAACCCAGGAACGCTCCGTTTGATCAGTCACATTGAATCAATTCTATTTTTGAGATAGCGGATCAAGGACGGCATCGTACATTCAGACAAGAAGTTCCTTCAGTTGTGTAATCATGTTTTAGTCCAGGAGTGTTGAAGACTTGTGGACTTCAACTCCCAGAATCCCCCCATTCCCCATACTGGCTGGGGAATATTGGGAGTTGAAGTCTACAAGTCTTCAAAAATTGCCAAGGTTAGACGCCTCTGTTTTAGCCAAATCTGTCATATTCGGAAGTCTTGCCTACTATTAAGCCATCATCCCCACAGGGCAGAGTCTGAAGGTTGAAACACTGGTCTTTCCTGCTCCCAAGTCAAAAGATTTCCATCCCATCTTCTCCTGCTTCATCCTTAACCTCTTTGCTTTTCAGCCAAGAGGGCCACCCAAAGCCATCATCCTCACATGCCACCCCAAAGAACTAAACACTTACCCACTGATTCTGGGTCCAGTCTCCCCTGGACCCAGAATCAGATGGCATCATTCTCACCCACAGGACAGGGAATAGAAGAAGATAATCACATTTTCCTGGATCACAAGATGCCAACCTTAGAATAGGGCCCTTCCTTTTCCTGGATGACCTTGTGAGCCCTTTTCTTGCTCCATGTCTAGGGTGACCTTTGGAGAATCTCAACAAGACGTACCTTCATCCTTGGGGTGAAGGGCTTCCCTGTTCTTGTACCACACGATGCTTGGAAGCGGGAAGCCATTGCGGGCAGTACAGGTGGCTATCTGAAGAACAGAAACACTGACAAGATCAGGCCTGGCAGCTCTTTAGGGGTGAACAGCTCAGATATTAACATGGGTTCAGGGTTCAAATTCCAATTTGGAGGTAGAAACGCTTTTTACAGAGCTAAAGGGGAAACCCGCCCTTGGCAACCATCATCTAAGGCAGAGATGTCCAACCTTGCTAACTTTAAGACTTATGGATTTCATCTCCCAGAATTCCCCAGCCAGCATGGCTGGCTGGGGAATTCTGGGAGATGAAGTCCACAAGTCTTAAAGTTGCCAAGGGTGGACACACCTTATCTAAGGGATTTGATTTCTATATAGCTTATGCAGATTATATCAACCCCATTATTCTGTGCCTACCTCCTGTGCTCCAAGGACATCTAGAGATTAAATTAATACTTTTCTCTACTTGGCCCCAAATATATGTGTATGCCCCAAATTTATCCCAATCTATGAATTAAAATAAAAAAAGAGACCACACAAAAAAGGGCATGATTTAAAACCCCTTACTGACTGTTGGTGGGAAACAGAAAACAAGGAAGTCACGACACCTGCTTTTGAGAATTAAAATAAAAATAATAGATTATAAATGAAAGCAATGCTAGAGTCAGAGGGGAACGTAGATTTATTCTTGAAACTTCTGTAAAAGAAAATTGGTGGTCATTTCTCCCCCCCCCCTTTGATTTCTGCCTTTCGTTTTTGCTCTTTTCTTCTCTCTTCTTTCTTTTTCCATTCCAAATGCTAGTTCTTGCCAGTTTTGATCTTATATTCAAACTTTTTTATATCGGAGGAAAAGAAAATCACATGATCTATTCCGTAGCTCTCAGAGGTGAGAAGTAAAAAGGACAGAATATCAGGAAATACCAGCCCCGAATGGCTTCACAGCTGTGCAAGCACATTACAAAAAAATAAAATTAAAAAGTGGGCCTTTGCGCAATCGTCACCTTCATTTCTCTGACTTCTCCCTGCTCCGCTTGGATCTTTCCAAGAGAAGCTGGATGCCTTCGGAGCAGGGGATGGACCAGACAGAGGTCCAAATCTTGGGATGAAGCCCCCTGCAGATATGCTAAATGTAACATCCAGGCAACACAAAGCAATCCCTACCTCTTGAAGCGTGGGTTCAGAAGCTCGCCATCCATCTTTCGCCAGCTGAAACTCGGGGGCTTCTGGGGCTTCTGGAAGAGAAGAGGATCAAGACAGAAGTCAGGCTGTGTTGCAGAAGGAAGGTGCCTTCCACCGCTTGGACCTTCTTTGCAAATCCCCCAAACCTGAGATATGGGTTAAGTGGAGGTGGACCACTCACTTGAGACCTGCAGCTTGGTCCGGTTCTCACTGACACCGAGGCTGCCGAGCCCCACTTGGCAGATGTAGAGCTTGGCATCTTGTGGAGTGACCTTCTTGATGGCGAGGGAGAAATTCTTGGCAATGTTCAGACGATCTCTGTACTGGTCTTCTGCCCAGACTTCCTTGTCTTGGATCAAGGAGATGATTCTCTTCCGTGCCATGTTTTCCCCCTGAAAAGTCCAAGAAAGGGGGCGAGCAAGAGAAATGGGAGAGGGGTCAGGACAGAGAGGAACAAAGATAACTTGCAGAGGCTCCACAGAGGATGGGCAAAAAAAAGTCAAGATACCCACCACCGTGGGAAATCTGAAGCTCAGTCTGGTTTTTATGGATTCCAACAATGGCTGCTGCATCTGGATCATACCTTGTGTAGAACCCCCTAGAGGTGGGCCATTTGAGGCCAACTCCTCCTGGGGGACTGTCTTCTCCACCTGCAGCCCAGAATCAAGACCTCCAGACAATGCAGTGGAGTTGATCTGAAATCCGCCAAGTGACGGCTGGGAAGAATTACACTGTTGCGTCCAAGTCAAGATTGAATGACTGAGAAGATGTGAGAGCATCAAAATAAATATGTTGATTTGTTGTTGTTTTTTTAATAGAATTACTCTGGGTTATAGTGCAGTTTTAGGATTAGGATTAACACAACTGGATCTAGAATTTGGGTTGCTTGTTAAGTGAATCACATCCAATTTTACAACTTTTTTTTGCCACCATTGTTAAGTGAATTGCAAATGGTGAACACAAGACCCTGGGATGCTGTATGGTTGGAGATAGGGGCCACCCCAAGATGAATTTGTTGCATTTTTCCAAGCAAAGCCAGATTACTGGGAAACTGACCCAGGGTTTTCAAGCACGCCTCTAGGTAATCCTTGACCTTCAACCATTTGTTTAGCAACCGTTTGAAGTCACAAGGGCATGGAAAAAGGGACTTACAACAGTCCTTGCGCGTATGACCCTCACATTATCCCCACGGTTGTGGGATCAAAATTCAGGTGCTTAGCAACAGGCATGTATTTACAAGGATTACAGCATCCCAGGGTCTTGTGTTCACCATTTACAACCTTCTGACAAGCCAAGTCATGAAGTGATTCACTTAACAACAGTGGCAAAAGAAAGTTGTAAAATTGGATGTGATTCACTTAACAAGCAACCCACATTCTAGATCCAATTGTGCTAATCGTAATCCGAAAACTGCACTATAACCCAGAGCAATTCTATTAAAAAAAAACCAACATGTTCATTTTGACCTTTTTTGGAAGGCAGCCACATTCCAACAAATCCAACTGAGCATTACTGAAACTTCCATAAAAGTAGGACTAAGAATTTTCCTTCAGAGTAAATTATAAAATAAATCGTCATATGGGGGCAGTGTTGATCTTCTTAATGCAAGAGACATGCTTAGTCCTGTTTTATACAAAAGCCAACCTATCTTTAAAATTTATCTATTTTAAAGCTATTTTTTAAAATCAACCCTTTAGAACAGGTAAAAAGTCATCCCTTTTTATTCCCCTGCTTGCCGTTCCCAGAATTATTATTATCAGCAATAGTATTTTTTAAACTTGTATGCTGCCTGACTCTGAAGGACTCTGGGCAGCTCACAACCATCAAAGAAATGACAATAAAATCAGTAAAAACCAGAGATAAAAGAAGATTAAAACTTTGAAACAACCCAAACCTCTTTTATTTCTGGAACCATCAAATGTGGTGCTAACACCATTTTACACTCCAGGAAGATTTGCCAAAGTTAGCATTTCAAAAAAGAGAAAGGGAAAACTGAGAGTCATGATAACAAAAAGATAAACCTACAGGAACAGGAGGCAGAAATGAGACAGCACGGCTGCTCTAGAGCTCTTTGTTCCTCAGAAGCTTCCATACATTTCCACCCTTGGTGGTACTTCACGGAAACCAACATTTCTTCCACCTCCCCACCCCAAAAAGCTGATTTTTTTGACTTACAGAGAACCAGTGGATATAAGCGTAGCTGCTGTTCTCTGGGAGAGAGAACTCGCAGTTAATTACAGCTGTTTCTCCAATTTCGGCTTCTACCACATCTGGCATGGAAACCTCTACATTTGCTTCTGCATCTCCTGGAGGAGAAAAAAAAACAGAATTAAGAGCTACAGTCATACCTATCTAGCTTCCATAGGACTGCCACAAGCTTCTAGCTCTATGTCCACCCTATTAGGAAAATAAATTCTACAGGTAGATTAGTAGGCAGGTAGGTAGTCCTTGACTTATGATAGTCACTTAGTGACCGTGTGAATTTATAACAGACCTCCTGTGAGGAAAAACCATCTTTTGGGAGGAGTGAAAGCATGTTAGGAAGATATAAATATAGAAAGACTACATGCTAATTGGCACAACCTTGACATCTTCAATTCTCAGTCCATTTTATCAGAACTGCTATGGCAATGCAACTGAAACCTTCCTTTTCAAGAGAATAACTCTTTCTTGTGGATAGCAACAGTAGATGGGTAGGAGAATAACTTGAGGTTTGCTAATTAGGACTATTCATGCTTATATCATCTGTTATCTTTGCCATTGTGTGATTATCACTTTCTCCTCCTTTCCTGAAAAGTATGAAGGAATCCCTCTCAATTTTTTAGAAGGAAATTCCTCCAGGGCTCATTGAATAAATAAACATCAATCAATCAATCAATCAGAATAGAGCTGGAAGGGACCTTGGAGGTCTCCTGGTCCAGCCCCCTGCTCAGAAAGGAGACCCTAGACCAGGGGTCTTCAAACTTGGCCTTTTTATGACTTGTGGACTTCAACGCCCAGAATTCCTCAGCCAGCCTGCCTGGCTGAGGAATTCTGGAAGTTGAAGTCCACAAGTCATAAAAGGGCCAAGTTTGAAGAACCCTGCCCTAGACCATTTCAGACAGGTGGCTGTCCAGTGCTTGCTGCAAAAACTGCAATGAGTCTTGATTATTGCTTTTATTTTTGTGTCCTGTGTTTGATTCTATACTTCCCAGAGGTACTTAAGACCCGGTTTCAAAGGTTCTGATGGCCACTTCCCTTTTCCATATTCACATGATCCCATTTTGGGCACTTGGCATTTGCAGAGTCCTGTAGTCAACCACTTAATGGCCACCATGTCAGGCACAAGTAACCAGGGGCGTTCACTGAATTCAAAGCACAGAAGAGTTTATTGTTGCTACCTCTAATATAAGGATCTAGTCAACTAACAGTCAAAGCTAAATTGGCACTAGATAAGGATCAATGAATTCATGGGGGGCTGGACCTAGGTCTTTTGTGACAACGCAATGACTTCAAACTGATGACACACTTAACCCCGCCTTCCAGCTCAGCCTCTTCTTCTCCTACACACCATGACTTAGGACCACAATTAGAAGGTTTACCCCTTTCTGCAGGATGAATTCAAGCCTTTGAAGTCACCTCTCTACCAAAATGGTCCATCATGTTTTCTTGCCTTCAACCTGTAGGCCTTCCAGTGAATCGGACCAAATCCTATAGTTCTCATCTTCAGTGCCCCAGCTTGAAGGAAGGTTGGAGGTTTCTGCCCCCTTCCCCCACCCCACTGCATGCAATGGACAGTTAACTCCAAAGCTTCTTCTGAAGATCCCACCAAAGAATCATCCCGGCTGGATGGCGGTGGTTTTTCCCCCCCCATATACCCCTTGGGCAATCTCTTTTCATTGGTCCTGAGTTTGATCACCAAACTTTCTCTAAAATGTAACTTTCTTTGGCTCTGTCTTTTTTTTAAGTGGGGGTAGTGGTTGAATTTCTTTGCAGACCAGCCCTGAGAAGGTCATTCCCATCAACTTCAAAACCAGCAAACTTCCCGGAACTCTTTGCAAGGGAGCAGGTGCAAAGCTGCAGGATGAATATCCTGCACAAAACAATTCTTGTTTGAGAGAGGCCCCTCCCTGGCAGCTCTGTTTGCTCTGCCCAGCTCTTTTGGGTGGCCCACAATCCTTCCCCCCTCCCCTTTGGAGAGGAACCCACGCATTGGCTGAACATCTGTTGGGTTTCCAGGCATCCACCAAGTGGGCGCGATTGCTGCACTTAGCAGGTGGGGATTCAGTTCTCCCTCTTGCATCACGGAAGGGGATCTCAAATTATTCCTGACGATACCCAGGCTGTCATATAGCAAGAATCCAACTTCTCTGAACAAGGAAGCCAAGAAGCAAGGGAGACTGGGAGAAAACTCCGAGGGGTCAGTGACCTTCTTGCATCATTATGTTCTCAATCCCCAAGAAGCCACAGCCCTCATAATAAGCTGCATTAGACATCCAAACCTTCTAAATATGGAGGTTTTATTTAGCTAGATTAAATAACAGCTATTGATAGAGCTGATGATTCACTAGGGAGTTGCCATCAGGCTTGACGTAAGGATAAGGGGCAGGCATTAATTCTTAAATATTCCTCCCCTGAAGATGAACTTTTGCAGCAAGGAGAGGATTGGGAATCCCATCTACCACCTCACCTCACCCCAAAAAGAGCAGCCATGAAAGATTGGTAAGCCCATAATGAGATTCCCATGAATGAGGACCAAGCTATGAATTAGGCAGAGGTGGAGAATTCTCTGGGTTGCAAAATGAATGTGACCAGCTGGCCAGGTTGGACCACCAACTAGGTAGCCTGGAGCACCTGAATCAATGCAGAAGATGGTGGAACTTCACATCCTTGGCTGATCTAGAAAAAGCCAAATGAAGCCACATGTGGTTAGTCTTTGAGGGGAAGCTAGCAGGAAGTCTCACAGGCGTTGGTCGGACTGGGAGTTGCATGAGATAAAACGTCTGGAGAAGGTAAGGAATGGCAAACTGCTTCCATATCGCTGCCAGGAAAGTTATCCGGGTGTGTCCAGAAAGTCACCAGGAATCAAGGTGAATTCAAAGAAGCTTATTCCAAGTGTCAATAAACATGGCAACCACTTAACTTGAGTAAACCAGGACAGTACAAGTGGGTTCCTCCTTCAAAACTCAGTGTTGGAAGGATGAGGTAAGTGCACTCATTTGACCACTGGAACTCTCAGCTAACAGGAGATCAGCTTCCCACATCTTAAAACGTGGATGTAGCTTGAGTAGTTCGTCATGAGGAAAAACACAGCTAAAGATGACCTCATCCCAGACGGACACGTCTGAGGACACTTCTACTGCTTGCTTCTTGAATGTATGTCTTCTAAAATTGTCCTGGACTGTTGCAATAAGCCATCTTGGCCTTTGCTTTGTTTTTAAGCCTTAATTAGCATATACCCATTCCAGCACAGATGGGCAGTCATAAAAAGAAACCAGAACCAAGAACCAGCCATGAACACAAGCTCTAAAGTTGATTCTTCTTTGCTGTGACCACATGGCCACCATCTTCATTTTTTCTTTCATCCTCCCATGGGTGGAAACTGGCTTGGTGGCAACTTGTGGAAGAATTGTGGGGGGGGGGAGCACATGCAATGGTTTAGTGGCTCCTTAAACAGCCTCTTCTCTGGTAGCCCAGAACAAAGCATTTGTCTCTTCCCAAATAAAATCAACATCCTTGCCCGGCTGAACATCAGCAGAGACAACCCCAGAGTGAGCACAGATGACCTTCAGCACTAAGCAAATGTGAAACATGATGAGGCGTGATGTTTCCATGCAACCAGCCTACAAAGCCCGCTCATTGAATTGGACAAGCTTCAACAGTTTGTTCTGTTTATTTATTTGCTCTGGTTTGTGTGCTGTTCCTCTGTGGAGACTCTGGGCCTGAAGGCTGTAAGGAGAGAGACAAAGAGAGAGAGAGAGAGGGCATCACTCATTAAGAGGTGTGGATGGGACTGGACACCAGTAGGAAAGAAAAAGGAGCTGTGTGAACAATCAAGGTAGACATCTAGGTGACTTCCCCTCCATCCACCCCATTTGATGAGTCCTCAAAAGATCTCCATGGGTGAAGCAAGGGCTGCTCGCTGATGGTTCGGTGGCTGAGATTGTTTCCAGCCCCAGGCAAGTAATGGAGGTGCTGGCCGCAGTCCAGGGGAAAGTAATCAGCTTCAATTGATTCAGTGCTAGGGCAGGGCCTTGGGGGAGGCTGATAAGTCTTGGTCCTGAGGAAGAAAACAAGCTTCAGTGCATAAAACAACAACTCTTGGATCTCTGGGAGAAGGTTTTTGGCACTTGTGAGCTCCGGTTCACTCCAGACAATGAAGATGTCACAAGTTCTGCAGCTCAGCCAAAAGGATGGATGGTAACTCCAAGAGAATCATCTAAATGGCTTGCTCTCATTCCAGATCTGATGAAGTTGGAATAATCAAGGGAAGCCTGATGTGCTGGATTCAGGATCAGTGAGCAGAGTGGAGAGAAACCACCTTCAGGAGACTGGCAAAAGACAGATGGAGGCATCAGTTGGTGCTGCAGAAGTTGACACTGAGCTGATATTGAGAAAACCATTCTGCCCAAATTTGAAGAGGTGGGGGAAATTCTTGTAGGATTCTACCCAGAATGAGCCAATGTATCACTCTTACCACTGCAATTCAAACTAATAGTCCCCACCTGCATGTTGAAGAACTCAACAATCTGCTTCCATTGGCCACACAGGACTTCCATCAGGGTATTGCAGTAAATTTACAAGCCACACTCACAAAAGAGAGAATCACAGTTGGACATGGCCATGAAATCCAGCCTCCCTGCTCAGCACAAGGAATCCAAATATCAGTGTCCCCGACGGCTAGCTCTTCCACCTCCATTGAACATCTCCAGCAAAGCTCTCTGATTCCACCGCTCTTCCTACTAGAAGACCATCCTAACAGACCATCACTGAAGAGACTCATTCCCTGTCCTATGGAATAAGAAAGAACAATTCCTATTTTTCTTTTTTTCTTTTTTGTAACTTTCTGTTTTTTATCTCTTGACATTGAGATCCTTGAAAAGGAACACCAACTCTAAGCCAACTCTTCTCTTCTCCAGGTCCAACCATCTGTCTCCAAATAATGGCTTCCAAGCCACAAGAGATGGTGCTGAAAAAGAGGAATGTGAAGTCGGAAAAGGTTCTTAGCAAAGCCACAGAGCACCTGGTTTCCATGCTGAAGAAAGAACAGGAAGGTGAAAAAGGGAGGACAAATCTCAGAAGACCTTACCAACCAGAACCAACAATC